ATTTCATCTGGCGCGACGTGTAAATGCATAAGAGCTTGAAAAGTCTCCATGTGATCGAGGGGATCTTTGGTCCCATCGAAGCTTTCGAACGAGGGCATCATGAACTTGCTAGGCAGGGGGTATTTCATAACGGCGAGGTTAAACGGCAAATTGGTTCTCTGCACCAAGTCATTTATGGCGGCAGGACCTTTCCCTTTCATAACCTGTATTACATCTTCCATTTTCGCCTTGAGATCCTCGATCTGTAGGTCGAAATAGGTTACTTTCTCTGTCTTTTCCTTAACACAGAAAGCTGTGCCTGTTTAAGCCTAGGGATTTCGCGAAGGCGGGGAATGAGGTTCTCTGTGTCGGTTTTTGACTTGGCTTTGTTCTGTCTCAAACTTGTGAGGATGATCGTTTTCTCAATCCTCCTCGTGTTCTTCCCCATCATTCAGATTGGGAGGATATGGGTCGGATAATTCCTGTTGAGGTAGTGGTCCCGCTGGGATAAGATGTTGTAGGATCTCTGCAATTTGCTGGATCAACTGGTTCATACCCTGATTCAGAGTTTGGACCTGTAGTTTTAACGCTGCAAGCCGTTCCTAGTCATTCGAGACGTCTGGGTGTTCACTCGACCATTTTCTTTGACTGGATCCCTACAACGATGTTTCTTTTCCAGTTACCATACCGAATCGCAAGTCCATATACCCAACCGAGTAATTTATTGATTTAAGGGAATCGTTGTTCCTACAGACGGTGCCAACTGTTGGGGGAGTAATCTACACGGTCAGATACGACACCGTTTTCCTGCAAATAAGAGAGTAGAAGATCGATGAATCTTGACGGCACCGGTGTGGTGCCTGCCAAGAGCTCTTCGACGTTCAAGTCAGTCACCGGAGGTCTAAAAGAAAGGCAGGGATTTTAATCGTTTTTTGTCGTACCTTTATTAACTGGTAGGAACTCATTCTTATAGTCGTTCTCCCTCAGTTCATTCACAGGATCAGAGGAGATTCGTTTGTTGCCAGATTTGTCGGGAATATGATTTAACCCTTTTGACTTCCTCAAATTGTGCCAAGGTTATCCTTACCCTGTTGAACTACGTAATCTTTCATTATCCTTGATAATGAAATATTATCATTCTTATCCAATGGAAATATCATCGTTCGAAAATCGAAAAGGTCTGGTGGCGTTGCCTCTATCGTTAGGTCAAGGTAGGTTAGGTTTATTTTTCTCTATCAGACATAAAACAGCACAAAAATAATCATTAATAAACAAAGTTATATATTTCATACCTTGAAAGCAACATAAATTAATTACCCCAAATCCAAAAACAAATTAAAGCTATTCATTTGGATTAATCACTTGGTTCATCTTTAAATTTCATGAAAAATAAATCAAAAAAATAAGTGAATGATAAAATATATTAGACATGAAATAGCACAAAAAAGAATCACTAATAGACAAAGCTATATATTTCATACCTTGAAATATAAGAAAATTATTATTCATTAATTATAAAAAAAAAATGTACTGAAACACTTTAATGTACTGAAATACAATAATGTACTAAAATTCTTTGTAATTTTAATAATATATATATATATATATATATATATATATATATATATATATATATGCCAGGCAATGCTAAATTATTAATCTGAATCGATATTTCAATTGATAAACTTTTTTTTTTTTTTTTCAAAATATTAATTCCTTACTCAATTAATACTAATAGATTCATAATTCATCACTCAAATAATTATTGATAGACTCCTAATTCCTTAAGGCCCGTTTACTAATGCTTTCATTTTCTTATTTTTACTTTCTTCGAAAGTAAAATCATAATTTTCATTTCTGAAGTTGAAATACAAAATAGAATCACGTTCAATAATAATTTATGCTTTCAATATTTTGAAAGTAAAAAATTAGAAATTAAGTTTAGTAATTATGATTTTGATTTTGCAAAAATTGCACACCAAAATCCATCTCATTCTTTGTAATTCTCTCTGAATGTCCCTGTGCTCTGGTTTGGAATGACATCAAAATCCGTCTTGAGTAGTTACCCTTTAGTAGCAGTCGCTCCTGAAAACCTACTTGATAAAACTTCCCAAAGCTTCCCTTCACTCCATTGATTTGAAGCTTCGGATTGAAACTCAAATATAACAGGTGTGCAGGTGAAAGGACTTGACACACTATCCTTTCAAACGGACACTCTATCTCTCTATTTTGGGAAATGAGTAGCACTTTGGCCATTTCAAAACAACATACCAACAAGAAGAAAAGAAAACCAAAAAACCTATCAAACATCTGTATCTCTCTATATATATATACATCTGTATATAGGTGTCAATCTCTCTCTATATACTGTGTGCGAATTTGGGTCTCCCTCTCCGATGCTTAAATTGGGTCTCCCTCTCTAATAAAAAAAGGTTTAATCTGGGTTTGATTATAGTGATTATAAAGAGAGATATGTGAGTGAGTATGTTTTAGAGAGAGAGAAGACCCAACAAAAAACCTAGAAAACCCAACCCCAAACAAAGCCCCAACAAATTATTGCAAACACAATGGACTGCGATTCAAAAGGTCTAAGTTACAGTGGCTGAGATAAAGAGAAAAACTCTAAGTTATAATGGTTTAGAGAAAGAGAGAAACTCCGATTCCGGTAGTCTGAAATTCTTCAGCATCATCTTGTCTACGTCCAAATAGAGAGAGATAGAGCAGTACTGATAGAAAGTCTGGTGGGTGGTGTCTTCCGTTGTCGTCGGTGGGTAGTGTCTTCCATCGTCGCTGGTGGGTGGGATGAGATGATGATAGAGAGGGAGTAGATGATAGGTGATGGTCGGGTGAGACTGGATAATACGAAGATGATGAGTGAATGCTACAGTAATAGAAATAAAAAGTATTTTCTGTGTACAGTGTAAAAAGTAGAGAAAGTAACAAAACCTCACTTTTTTCTTCCTTCATTAAATGTGAAAGTACTTTCTAAAAGTAAGAAAGTAAAATTATATTAATAAATATAAATTTTACTTTTTACTTTACATTTTAGGAATTGGTAGTAATAAATAGGACCTTAGTCAATCAACTACTAATAAACAAATTTTATATAAGTTAAACAATTAATCCATAAACTCCTAAACAAATATAAAATCAATTATTATTTTACAAACTCTTAAACAACATAAACCCTATTTACTCCCCCCCCCCCCAAAAAAAAAATATATATTTATTTTCTTTCATCCTCGCTCTTTCGCACTTCTTCTCTAACACAAATTCATCTTATCCTCTAAAATAATAATAGAAAAAACTCTTCTATTTTTATCACTAAAATCTATTTATTTTTTTGGGTTAAAATTCAAAATTATTAATTTGTATTAAGAATTTCAATTAAAATGATAAATTCATTTCTTATCGCGTGTATTACATGTGCACTGTTATTATAATGTGTGTGTGTATATATATATGTTATAATATAAGATTGTGGATGGATACATTTTGTAGTGAAAAATTGGCGATAAATATGTGACTTGATTTTCATTCAAAATATAATAAAAAAACAGTGACGTAACTAGGCACACGAATCAATTAATTATTAAAAAATGTACGTAAATTTATTCGTATGGATACATAAATAAATCAAGGGTGAAGTGGGGTGTGTACACCCCTTGATGTTCAAAAAAACACCTACATTTCTTTAAATTGAGCAAATAAGGACAATTTTTTAATTTGAAGACTAAAATACTTAAAATGCTCTTAAGACAAATTTAAAAATAAAAAAAATTAAGAAACCTTTTTTTTTTTTTTTTTTTTTAATTTAAAAAAAGGTAATAATAATAAGGGCATTTTTAAATTTTTATAAAAACCCAAATTAATTAATTAATTTATATATTATAATAATAATAATAATTATTATTATTTTTAACCTTTTAATATATTTAAAAAAAGAAATATCTAAAATTTCCTTAAGGGTATTTTGGGGTTTTATAAAAAAATTGGTCGAATTTATTGACCAAGGGCAATTTATACAAAAATTCAAAATACAAGGATTTATATGCACTTTTTTAAAAGTGGGGGTGATTCTTACACATTTCTTTACATGATAGAAGGGTTTCTTGCACTTTACCTATGAATTCAATTGAAAATTTTCATAACACAAGCATCAACAATGAATAAGTGTAACTCCCAAAGATAATATAACCATTTTTTCCAAAAAAAAAAAAAATAAATAAAGAATCATGTCATGGAGCTACGATGTCTCCACCAACCCGTGGAAGTGTTGGACCCCTCATGTTACCACTTACCACCATTTCAATTTTCTTTATTAGGCAATAAGGAATAAGCATCAAAGGGGCTATGAGTTCCCTAGGTCACACATTAAATGAGGAACTAAAAACACTTTTAATGGCCTAATAAAAATGCATGATTATTAATTTTACATATATAATAATAATATATATTTTTTGACGTATTATATCGTATTAATATATACATATACATATATATATATATATATATTTTAAATTGTTGTACTATTATATCCGTATTTCTTGTTTGTATATTTACTTTGTATGTTGAAATGTTTAGTTCAAATTTCAATCAAAATCCTAACCTAATTTTACTTTTGAGGTTGAACCAAGTTAGGTTCGAACTCACAAAATAATTTAATAACAACAAAGTAAATTAGATTAGGATTGTGTAATCTAAAACTAACCTAAAATTGTGGTGGCTTCTTGAAAAAATCCAAAGTTCGGGTTGAGTTTAGAAATTTCAAACAATGTACTCCACAAAACAACCCAAATATGGATGTTGGTTCAAGTTGGTTTAGGTTGGTTTTTTCCCGAAGTAGGTTTGGATTTGTTTGTTGAACTTGTATTTTTGTGCTCTAGTGAAGTTACACTTTTACTTAGGCTAGTCCTCGCTCATTTAATACAACATGCACGGTCAAAATTGGAAATAGACACAGAAGAACCACAAATATATAATAATGGTATAAATACACATATTGTTGGTCCATTCCCTTTTTCTAGCACCGGAAGGAATACAATACAGGCATCATCGTCATCATCAGCAAAAGCTGAAGAGTCAAAGCCCCCGAGAGCCCTCGCCCCCTTCTTTCTCTCTCTAACATCTATTTCTCTCTCTATATCTATATCCATGTATGTATACGATTCGGTAAGTTAAATCCCTAATTCCTCCCAGGTACGACATTTTTATTCAAATCTCACCCTCTTTCCAATTTTCGTCAAATTTCGCACCTTTTTTTATAATTTTCCCCAAAACCCTAGTTTTTCTTTCTGCTCGAATAACCTCATCTTGAACCCCTCTGAACTCGCGTACTCTAACGGAACGCAGAATTAGAACTCATTGTTTCAACCGATTCAATTTTGGTTAGGTTTTTTTGATATCAAAGGTATGCTCGATTTCACTTGCGAATTCGATATGGTTTGAAATTGTCCCACTTGCTTGAGAACCAGCTATTTATTGTGCGTATGTGTGTTGTAGTGTTAGTGGGATTCAGCAAAAATTGAACTCTGACTTGATTTAGTTGGTTAATTGTATTGGTTTGGACTTGCTAATCGTCTACTTTTTGTTGTTGTTTTTTGTTGCTGTTTTTTTTTTTTCAATCTTGTTTTGTATATGCTTTGTGACTGGTGATGAGGTCCAAGTTGGTGTTCAACTGATTTTATTTTCCTGGGAGGTTTTGCTGCAAATGGGAAAGGTTTACTTTTGGACACTTCTTGTTGGGATCACAATGATTTGATCATCGAGCTGTGCTTCATATAGTCATTGTTTCCAGATTTAGGATTACGTAAATGTGTGCATATGTATTGCAAATGAGACATCTTAGGTTATGCTTCCTGCTGGATTAAGATGTTATTTATATGTTGAGTACTGCATTAGATATGCTATGCAATGTATTATATTGAAACTTTATGATGGATTGGAGTGATAAGCTAACAACTAAAGACCAGATACTTTAAATATTTATCTTTATACATTTGTTTGAATTTTTGTTAAAATGATTTCAGCTACCTTGGTGGCTTGATTTGAAGGGAAAAATCTTTGACTATCAAATATGTGTTGTGGGTTCTGTTGATTCAGTTAATTAACAGTACTGCTTACCTCCTTTGGGTCGAGCTTTGATGTAAAGGTTTACATTATTATATGTACTAGCAACTGAAAATTTTGGGCCATACTTCTTTCAGAAGGCGAGTAATTATTGTTAGTGTAATTTAATTTGATCGTAATTTCAATTAAATTCAGCTCCAATACTTGGTCATGCTTCTTAGAGGGATCAAAATTTTTGTTTAACATGCATATTTTTAGGAAAACTGGACTACTGAATTATGCTTATGGTTAAGGTTAAAGGTTTTGCTTCCTTACATATCTATGTAAGTTCTTATGTAGGTGGTTCTCAACTATGAGGTTATGTTCCATTTTTGTTATGGATCACTTTTTACTTTAGCAAGTATGTTTAAAACTTATATATTAGGAACATCCATCTAGTGGCTTATGTTCTGTTAGGATTCGACAATTATCCATAATATATATATTTAAATGCTATGTATTTTCAACCTACAAACTGAAACTATATGGCTTTGTTCCTCATAGGTCCAAAATCCTATTTTCACCCAAAATCCTGTTACATAGTTATTTTTTTTTATTTTTATTTTTATTTTTTTTTATTTTTATTTTTTTTAGATTTAAGATAATTTTCCCATTGATTAGAACGGTGCTAATTTTAGGTTACTTAATAGCACATTCCATTTATGTAATCTGCTCTTTGTTCATCTGCTTGCCTTATATACTGATTTCCTCACGACTTCCTGCACGTTGTGTGGTAGGTCGGTATAAGATGATTAGGAGCTACAACACCCCCATCTCATGGTAACGAGATAAGATACTAGCGGCATTGACAAATGAATCCTATATTTGAGGTCATAAATTAACTCTAATCCTTGTGACAAGTAAATTTTTTTAAATTGCTATTCAGCTGGTTAACTAAACAGTGGCTGTCATCATGATTTAACTTTGATTTATCATGTTTTCTTGTAACATTTTGGCAAATTTAATGCAGTTTGACTTGTATAGCATCTTGTAGCAGTTCGATGTTGGAGGCAGTATGCAGGTGATAATTTGGAGAAATGCAAAGGTATCATTCTACAAGCTGCACTAGTGCAGTTAATAACAGTGCAATTGGTGGTGCGTCAGCTAGGGATACATCACGAGCTGATTCGTCTTCACTGCCATCTAACTTCTCCCTCAATCAACGGTAAACATGTTCCTCCAAACAGTTATTCATGCACTTTCAAATTCTCTCTCCTCCTCTCTCAGCATGGTTTCCAGACAGACATCTCTACACTTATGTAGACACATTATTTTGTTTCCTTATGTCATGATGTATTGCCTTGTTTCTATAGGTTCCATAATATATATCAGCACATGTAGACGTGAACTCTTAAGTTGTTGTATTCTAAATTATAATTTAGTGCCAGTGATAATCTTACCATGGCCTCCCCCCCCCCCCCCCCCCCCCCCCTCGAAAAATGGTTTCCTTGAGCCTACCCCTTACTGACAGCCAACATCTAGGTATACGTGTTTTGATAATGTGTTATAATGGTCAATGAGAGGATATGAATTTTCTTGATCTGTACGGCTTTACTTATATTGGAAGATGCATCCATTTTAATACTATTTATTTCATTTGACTTTTGGAAGTCTCCTATATGAAAATTGGCTCTGCTATTTATTCTTTCTTTCCTTCCTCCCCCCATTAATGGTGATAGGATTTTGAAGACAATTCACGTACAAACTGTATTTTATCTTTCATTAATAAATTTTCTACTCCTTTACATGGTGCCTAATATTGCTTTATATCAAATCACTTGAAAATAGGATTTTTGCATCATTATTTAGTTATAGGTTGTGGGTTCTTGCTGATTAGTGGAAAAGAGGTATTACACGTATTGTGATAGAAGTTTCAGGTGAGATAGTTTAGGTGGAACTCGAGGCTGCCGCGGCTGCAAGAGTTAGGTCAGTTTTGAGATGACCACTTGCTACTTGAGGTCAAGGTATTACATAGAGTTGGGCCAAGTGTGGTATGAGGATCAAGGGTTAGATTGGGACACTGTAATATCAACAAGAGAGGTGGTTAGACACTTAGACTTCTCTTGTCCTGCATCAAATTCATGCTGTGATCTAATTATGCTCCAGGGATTAAGGCAAGATAAATGCCACTTTTAAGGAAGCTTCTTGAAGTGATGGCAGGCTAGATCTTTTATCCTTTTTAAAATTTTATATTCTGTGATTTTATACAGTTCTCTGCGGTCTTTTGTTCGTCGGGTGATGCCTGTCATTGAATATTAAGGTCCAGTGATCTTTTATCGAGAGCTATTTTCTCCTCCAGCATCATTACATGCACTCTATTCCTTATTTTTGAGATCCTAAATTTGCTTATAGTAGATTTTAGTTTAATTTTATTTAGCTTAATGTTTATATTTTTGAATATTTAATTATTTCAAAAATTTAAGCTAAATTGATTGGTCTCAGTTCACATAAATTGTAATGCAGGAGGGCATCACAGCTGACTCCTTATAAGTTGAGGTGTGAAAAAGAACCTTTGAATTCCAGGTAATTTCTGCATTTTCAATAACTCAATTTTAAGAAAGTGAGTGAAATGCTAGTCCTTTTGTAGAGAATGGTCATAATAAGGCTATTGAAGATATATGGAATTCAGTTTTTCTACTCTTATTTAGTTTGCTTTCTAGAATAATGGATTAGAAAGGTTTCAGAAGTTTCTATTTTCTGCTATCAGGCTTCTAAATTTTATATCATCATCTCACTTTGGAATTTTTCACTTTTCGTTTCTCAGACTTGGGCCACCTGACTTTCACCCACAGAGTCCAAATTGCCCTGAAGAGACTCTTACCAGGGAATATGTGCAATCTGGATACAGGGAAACTGTTGAGGGACTTGAGGTATGCTTTTTGAAACCAAGCATTTTTTTAGGCTGCCAGCCGTGAGAATGCGGTTCGAGGATGAGTGCAAGCACTTTGTGCAAATAACACCTACTTAGATGTGTATCTTTTGCACCCCACGTAGCACCTTGCACTGGTAGGAGGGGGAGGACTAACACTGGGTAATGGCTTTTAAAAGCAAGAAAGAAACAAAATGACCTGATATGAAAGTATCTAACTTCTTTTTTGGGATGGTGCGCACAAATCCACCACTCTCTTCTTTATTCTTTCGAGAAATCCCTTGGTTTCTTATGCTTTGGGATTGAATGTAGGATCTTTTCAGCTTTGCAAAGAGGTGGTATCTCTACGAGGCCGCAATGCAATCTGATCTGTTAAGGGTTATTCTTGAATGAAGGGGGGCAAGAACCATGGAACCATTGCATGTGATGGTTGACTCGGAAGTGGCTTCTAATTATTTTTCTCCAGTTTTTTATTCTGGCCGTTTGATCAATTGAAGATTTAAATTTATGTAACCATATTTAACAATAAATTAATTTTTCTTCCTGGGATTAGATTCACCAGCAGTCCTAGCTGTAAACAATGGATGCTAGGTGTTATGCATATCGACCCGTAATTTTTAATTTAAGTACCCACTTGTCCACCAAGTTTGTTCAGTGATAAGTGGTATGGGCCAAGTCAAGTCTCAAGTGTTCAAGTCTCTAGCTAAATGTTAGACCCCATTTTAAGTGAATTCACTTTTAAGATTTAATTAATTATACATTATCAAACACACTCAACAGAGAAAGAAATCACTGAAAATTTCAAGATTTGATAAGGGTATTATCAGACAATTCCTTAGTTTTGAATCTCGGTAGTACTAGTAATTTATAATTTTATATTGGAGTTGCTGGGCTATCTGAATTTGACATATCCAAGTAACTGTATTCTATATTCATCTTTAATGCGTACACACATTTTTATATCAATCTGTGTCCTATGTCAGTTATAATCTTACTAGATTTTACTTGCTGAATTTTTCAGGAAACTAGGGAGATCTCGCTATCCCAGGTTCAAATTTTTACCAAGCCTGTTATCGGAAAGTGCAAAGAGGTAAGTCTCTCAAAAAATGAAGCTAGGGTGGCTAATTGGTTCTCTCTTATTGTTGTTAACTTCTTTTGCTGCCAAGTTTAGCTTCATTTGAGTCTTAGTTGCTTTCTCATGTAAGCTACTGTTGTTTAAGTAAATGATGTCTCTCTCTTATTTTATTTTTTCAGGCAATCAGGAAACGTCACCGGGCCATCAATGAATCTCGTGCTCAAAAGCGCAAGGTGATGCATTTCCCTTTTTCCAATTAGAGTTGATATTGGTGGAAACTTTTATGGATCAATTGTAATTTGAACCATTTCTCCTGCTTTTCAGTGCCTTTATGTTCTTATGTTCTATGTTCTTATGTTGAACTATGTGTTCTTCCTTTTACACATCCATATTATTCTAAAATTTTCTAATTTCTTGATCGAAATTGAAATGAAATATATTGTTGATGTAACAGGCAGGTCAAGTTTATGGAGTGCCGCTATCTGGTCCACTATTAACAAAGCCTGGAGTCTTTCCTGAGCAAAGGCCATGTGGGGAAGACTTTCGGAGGAAATGGATTGAGGTCAGCCTTCTACTTCTAAATAAATGTTCATGTCACGTATTTTATATATTATACTCTGCATGATTTCAATATTATTGTTATATGCATCACTAGGCATAATTCTCAGGAATAAGGTGCATCTAATTGACATATCGATAAGAATATTTTTTTTTTAATAAAGTAGGTAATGAAATTTTACTCTCACAAATAAAAGCAGATAATATTAGTTAGAAGTCATGTTTGTACCCAACTCTTTTATTTACTTTTTTATTTATTTGGGTATGTGGGGTGTGTACTCAATCCAACCTCTTGGTACTCTCAGCTAACGGGAGACTAGGACTAGATATTGGCCTTTTGACGAATACACGTAGAGTAATTAAAAGGATAAAAAAATAAGGCTTAACACACTATCTCTTTCCTAATTAAAAGAAGAATATGATAACATAATCATATTTTTCAGTTTCATTTTAAAAAAGAAGTGGATAGAAAAGAAGGATAGAAAATTGCAGGTTCATCTTTGTCCTGTCAAAGTTTCTGTTCCTTGAATTGAAGAAGTGTAAATTCTCTTTGAATAGGCCCGAATCGAAGATGCTTGAGGTTATAGTGCTTGTATTGTTGTGATATATTAATGCTGTCATAATCACCGTCTCTTGTCCATTATTTTCTTAACCAAACCTGGCAAAAGTGAGATTTTTTAAGAATTATTTTTTATAATTGTAGGGTAAAATGATGAATTTTCTGGCTGCCAAGTGTGAGAATGCAGAGGGCAGTTGCTTTCTGTAACCAGCCTCCTGCTCCTCGGTTAACATGAACAAACATTGGGTGATGGCTTAAGTGGCCTTACTTTCTGTTAAGCAGAGACGATAGAGTTAATTTATTAGCAACTCTTGCCAATTATAAGAAATCTCATTAGTAAAATATGAATAACTAAAAATGAGCTCCAAGTGGAGCATACTACAAAACTAAGATTACAATGCATCTCTTCCAGAAGGAGACCTGAATAGGTCAAATAATAACAAAAAAATCACTCTTGGGTTAGGCCAATGAAAGGCTTAGCATACATACCAAACAAGAGATGACGTAAGTTGGTTAAGCAAAAATGAGGGCAGATGCTCTGGAGGACAAGTCTTCAGTCAAAAAGTATCCAGTCCAAACAAAAGATCTGTGGACAGACACAGGGTTGAACTGAGTGCTGGTCTCTTGGAGCCTTGGAGGTCAGCTGTCTTCTCCAATTTCAATGGGAGCCCGAGCCATTATAGTGGCAATCTAAAGATCACATTTTCTCTAGTGTAAATATTGCCACTGCCCAGTCACTTGAATAAGCCATTTGATTGTGACTACCCAAAATGGACCGTCACAACCCCACTCAATGGAAGATCATCTTTGGAGCAATAACAAGAACTTGTAGCCGGAATCACAACATAGAAAGCCTGTATCTGACATGAAATATTAACTTCCTTTGGAATTTTTATCTTCTGAAAACCCTTTTTTGATGTGAACTATATTCGGATTAATATATATTGTGTGAAGTTAAAATTAGATAATTTAAAATATTTACTTGATTTCTCTTTTCTGGATATTTTTTCTTGGTATTTGTTTTTATTCTTTATTGTCACATGTGATACAACTTTAGATCATTGCATTTTGCAGTTAATTTTATTTGATAAATTTTAATTTCCTCATTAATATATTTTCGTTGCTAGTGCAATTCGATTTAAGTGCAGAAAAGAAATAAGGTGCTGTTATATTGTGGAGTCTACATTTGATGTTACTCTTTCCATTTTGTGCTTGTCGGGTTTGCTTTCTAGCTCATTTTAGTTTATCAGGGTTTTGAATGTTAATGGTGGAAATTTTTGGCCTGACCCAGCCAACTTTTTTCTTCTCTTCTTCCTAATTCCTGCTTATTGTCAGGTTAGGTTTCCTTTATATGCTTGTTTGGCTGATATGAGCTCTGTGTTTTTCTTCTTCATTTTTATTTGGTAAAAAAAAGTGGGAAAAATGATCTGAATGGATTCTATTTGGACATTGAACAAAACAAGCTCGGTTATCCCTCCTTGGCTCTCCTCAACCTGATAAAAATTATCTTTTTTTTTGGTTTGTTTGATAAGTCTGTTAAAAATTATCTTTTGTTCACTTTGTTACAATTATTATAAATTTAAGGTACCCCCTCAAAACAAACTAAAAGAATGAAAAAGGGGGAAATGTGACAACCATTACACTACATGTCATATTGTTTTATTGATCTATCAGTTGCAACTACCTGACCTTTTATGCTCGTGTTTGGATGTATCTTGCTGCAATAAAGTGTTAACCAACTCTAAAATGTCAAAAGAAAAAAATTGGAGCTTGATGACTTGATAGACTGTAAATTTTCTCATTCCAGGGTTTATCCCAACCTCATAAACGGTTACGTTATTTGGCGGATCACGTTCCTCATGGCTACAGGAGGAAATCCCTTTTTGAAGTTCTTATCAGGAATAATGTTCCGTTACTAAGGGCAACTTGGTTTATCAAAGTAACTTATCTCAATCAGGTATGAATTTTCTGATCACCGGTATGGATTTTGGATTATCTCTTTCAACTTGGCTATTTTTTATATTGGAAGGTAGCAAATATAAATTTATGTTGCAGGTTCGGCCTGGCTCCACTAATTTATCTTCAGGGGCACCAGACAAAACTCACTTTTCCCGCTCAGAGCAGTGGACAAAAGATGTTATTGATTACTTGCAGTACCTCCTGGATGAATTTGTATCAAAAACTACTCCTCATTCTAATGTACATATCAGGGATCGATCACAGCAAATGGTTTATGCTGGGTCGATACAGCACAAGAGCGATACAGCATCAGCACTCCTTGATAATGAGGAGCCTTCTCTTCATTTTAAATGGTTGTATGTGGTGCGGATTTTACAATGGCACCATGCAGAGGGGCTGATGCTTCCTTCTGTCATTATCGATTGGGTTCTCAGTCAACTACAGGTATTTCTATTTAAGTCATTCCTTGAACCCATTTATTTGGAGAGAAGTCATGTATTATGGAGTAAGTCTACCATGAGGGTGCTCTCATTAGGTGAGTTTGCGTCCTCATGACAGCCTTTTCCCATATGATGTGCTTGCAGCTGAACTATTGAGTAGTAGTTGTTTCTATTCAAGTTCATTTGCTGTTAATACTTGGGGTTTGGATGTCAAATTTATGCTTTTTCAGGAAAAAGGATCAATTGGGACTTTGCAGTTGCTGTTGCCTATTATATATTGCGTCATAGAAGCTGTGGTCTTGTCTCAGACCTATGTGCGCGCTATTGTGGCAATAGCTGTTCGCTTCATCCAGGAACCCTCTCCAGGTGGTTCTGATCTTGTAGATAATTCCCGGAGAGCATACACTACCTCAGCTCTTGTTGAGATGCTTCGGTATTTGATATTGGCTGTGCCTGATACTTTTGTTGCGTTGGATTGTTTTCCTCTGCCACCCTGTGTGGTATCTCACGTGGTAAATGATGGAAGTTTTATATCTAAAGCAGACGAGGATGCTGTAAAAATGAAAAACGGTTTGGTGGAAGTTGGTACTTTGTTTAGAGATAAAGGGCTTGAAGCTCAATATCAGTCCTTGTCCATTGGTCATGCTGTTTCGTCAATCCAGAAACGTGCGGATAATCTTGCGATGGCTGCGAGACCTGGTAATCCAGGTCGCAATATGGCTAAAGCTGTACAGGAGTTGGACAAGGCTCTTATACAGGGTGATGTGAGAATGGCATATAGATTTCTCTTTGATGATCTTTGTGATTGTGTTGATGAAGGTTGGACAGCTGAAGTCAACCCTTGCTTAAGATCATCAATGAAGTGGATCGGGACAGTGACCTTGTCATTTGTTTGTTCTGTATTTTTCCTCTGTGAGTGGGCGACGTGTGATTTCAGGGATTTTCGGACTGCCCTCCCTCACGGCCTAAAATTCACTGGCAGAAAAGATTTTTCTCAAATATACATTGCGATTCGGCTTTTAAAGCTGACTAAAAGAGACATGCAAAGTTCACTCCCATGCAAGAACAAGAGTGTTCGCAGTGTCAATAACTTTATAAATGGTCCTGGTCAGATGAATAATTACTTTGGCTGGACTTCTATGGGAAATGATTATGTGTTAAAAAATAATTTGAAGAGTGTGGATGGAAAAAATAAAGATTTGTCAGATCTGTTTCAAAGCCCAGGCCCTTTACACGATATAGTAGTGTGTTGGATAGATCAACATGAAGCTCAAAATGGAGAAGGTTTCAAACGTCTTCAACTACTTATTACTGAACTCACACGATCTGGCATTTTTTACCCTCAGGCATACGTGCGGCAGCTGATTGTTGGTGGAATCATAGATAGGAATGGACCTCTGGCAGACCTTGACAGATGGAAGCGACACTGTAAAATCTTGAAGCAGTTGCCTGGGCCATATGTTCGCGATGCTCTGGAAGAAGCACGAATCACTGAAGTGGCAATACTTTCAGAGGTAATTCATGTCTATTCAAATGAACGTCGTCTAGTGCTTCGAGGGTTTCATGATCATCAGAAAAGACCAAACAGTGCTAATAGTTCATCAAAGGAACAAAAGCATCATCCAACCTCCATATGGGAAGGTGCTTCCTCTGCGTCTGTTGACCAGTGGAAAACTCTTCCGTCAGCATCCGCTTCATTGTCTGGTAAAACTATCTACAGAGGTGCTGACCTCGAAGAGCTAAAGGCTGCTATTTCAGAATTATTGCAGCTCCCAAGCTCTTTTTCTACGCCATCTGATTCTGGACTTGATGAGTCTCAAGGGAGTATGAAGAGGCCTGTTATGTCAACTAGCAACAAGACAGATCTGGGAGAAGGATCACCTGGGTGTGAAGAATGTAATAGGGTGAAGAGACAAAAATTAAGTGAGGAGAAGAGCTCATACCTTCAAGGATATTCACCTAATCTATCAGATGATGAAGAAAGCTGGTGGGTGAGGAAGGGGCCTAAATCCTCAGAGTCTTTTAAAGCTGATCCACCTCTTAAGCCATCCAAGCAGGTCTCTAGGGGGAGGCAAAAGATTGTGCGTAAAACTCAAAGTCTTGCTCAGTTAGCGGCTGCTAGGATTGAAGGTAGCCAGGGAGCATCAACTAGCCATGTCTGTGATAGTAGGATAAGCTGCCCTCACCACAGAACAGGTTTTGAAGGGGAAGCTAAAACAGTGGATGGTATCAGGACAAACCACTGTGGAGATATTGTTTCGATTGGGAGAATTTTAAAGAAGCTCCGGTTTGTAGAAAAGAGGGTCATCACAGTCTGGTTGATATCTGTAGTCAGGCAACTGGTTGAAGAAAATGAAAAGACTGCTACCAAGGTCGGCCAGTATAGTAGGCCTTTTCCTGCTGTCTCTGACAAGAGCTCTGTACGGTGGAAGCTTGGTGAAGATGAGTTATCTGCTTTACTGTATTTGATGGATGTTTCTGATGATTTAGTTACAGCTGTCAGATTTCTCCTTTGGTTGTTGCCTAAGATTTTAAGTAGCCCCAATTCTACAGTCAATAGTGGGAGGACCATGCTTATGCTGCAAAGAAATGTGGGAAGCCAAGTGTGCGAAGTCGGGGAGTCATTTCTTTTGTCGTCTATTCGGAGGTGCACTCTTGATTTCTATCTATATTAATAGTTTCTGTTTGGTGTTTTTGTTCATCGAGTCTGTTGGTGCTTATTCTGGTGTGTTTGCTTGTCTTTTAGTGTCTGACAGAGTGCCACCTTTTCATTTGGATTTAATATTCAGTTTTAATTATGATAAAATTCTGCACCTCTTAATTTCCATGTATTTAAATTATTTCACTAGATTTACGTTGACTTCATTTATTGGTTTTGGAATTTCATGGCACATCTTGAAAATTAATTAGTACTGAACTCTGTACCTTTTGTGTCTGTTTTTTTGAATGTCTCTGGTATATCCATTCCCCCTCCTTTAACCAACCAAACAAATAAATTTATAATTCAAGGGACAAATAATTTATTTATTTATTTGTTCATTCACCTCCATACTTTAGTGAGGATTTTAATATGAAACATATTTAGTTAAACTCTGGTGCCTCTGTTTAGATTGCTGTGACTTGTGGTTTCCCTTTTGAAGTTTGCGAGTAGTGGCAGCAAGCAGAGTTGCTTGAGTATATTGTTTTGATTGGTTTAGTTCTGTTATTTTATTTGGATAGATCTCTGTGCCACCCTATATAAAGGTTTTGAGCTCATGGAGCTTCCAGTTTATTTCCTGAATAAATTTTTGTAGCATTTTCAAACTTGGCTATTTATTAAGGCAAGTACTTGGAAAATTTGTTGCATCCAAATCTCATTTGGCTTAAATGTATTCTAATTAGTTCTCTGTTATCCGTGAAGGTAAATGTTTCAGAATTTCTGACATTTAGACTATAAGTTTAAATTCCAGAAATGATGTCTATATGCACCAATCCTTATTATGGAAGAATTAAATGCTCAAAACTTAAGCCCGTTGCCAGACGTTTGAGGAACTGGAATGACAATGGTTGCAAGATTGAACTGTTCGTCACCTCTGTGCTATATTTTTACAGCTGGATCTGAAATAACCCAAGTTTCTTAGAAGTATTTTCAATTTAGTTTCTCCCATTACCAGAACACTTGTGTTGTTTTTCCTTTCTAACATTCACCTTTCATGAGATCCATTGTCTTTTTGCTTTAGTTTATTGTAATATTTTGATGAGGAGACACTTATTCTTCAGTTTGTACAATTTGTATCACCCTTATTTTTTCTTTAGTGTATTTAATCTTTTGCTATGGCGAGGATTACATCTGTGTAGATTCCCGTGGCAACCTTTGGTGAAGCAGTTGTGATCTTAGCTTATTATATTTGGCTAACTTAGTTGTTTGGTTCAGGTATGAAAATATTCTTGTTGCGGCTGATCTTATTCCCGAAACCTTGTCAGCCGCAATGCAACGTGCTGCCACCATAATGGCCTCTAATGGGAGAGTTTCAGGTTCAGCAGCTTTTGTGTATGCTCGGTATCTGTTGAAAAATTTTAGCAATGTGGCTAGTGTTGTTGATTGGGAGAAGAACTTCAAGACAACATGTGATAAAAGGCTTTTTTCTGAACTTGAATCTAGAAGATCACTGGACGGAGAGTTTGGGGTTCCACTAGGAGTTCCAGCAGGAGTTGAAGATCTTGATGATTTTTTACGTCAAAAGATAAGCGGTGCCCGAGTATCTAGAGTGGGTTTGAACATGAGAGATTTAGTGCAAAGACATGTTGAAGAAGCTTTTCAAATTTTTTCTGGAAAGGAGAGAAAGCTTTTTGTGCCTGGTACAGTAAAAGGTCCTGCATTGGAGAAATGGGATGATGGGTATCAAATAGCTCAACAAATAATTATGGGACTAATGGACTGCATTAGGCAAACAGGCGGTGCTGCCCAAGAAGGGGACCCCTCTTTGGTGTCCTCGGCTGTTTCTGCAATTGTTAACAGCGTTGGGTTGTTTATAGCAAAACCGTCCAGCACTGTCCCATTGGATTATGCTCGGCGCATTTTACGCATTCATATAACTTGCCTATGCCTACTTAAAGAAGCACTTGGAGAGCGTCAAAGCCGTGTCTTTGAGATAGCTCTTGCCACGGAAGCTTCTTCTGCCCTTGCTCAAATTGTTGCTCCTGTAAAGGCCCCTCGTACTCAGTTTCAACTGTCACCTGAAACCCATGATTCCAATGCTAAGACTACAGCCGCTGTTTCTGCTCTTGTTGTTGGGGCTGTTCTTCATGGAGTTGCTAGCCTGGAGAGAATGGTAACTGTTTTCAGATTAAAGGAAGGGATAGATGTAATTCAGTTTATGAGGAGTTCAAGATCCAATTCAAATGGGAATGCACGATCAGTTGGGGGTTTTAAGGTAGATAACTTGGTTGAGGTTTCTGTTATATGGTTTAGGGTGCTTGTTGGGAACTGCAGAACTATTTCTGATGGATTTATTGTGGAGCTTCTGGGAGAAGCTTCTATAGTAGCATTATCAAGAATGCAGCGAACGCTCCCTCTCTGCTTGGTCCTTCCACCTGCCTATTCCATATTTGCATTTGTCATATGGAGACGATTCATTCTCAACACTAACACTGTAACTCGTGAAGATATCAACCAACTGTATCAGTCCTTAACATTGGCCATAGGTGATGCCATAAAGCACCTGCCTTTTCGTGATGTGTGTTTGAGAGACACTCGTGGTTTTTATGATATTGTAGTTGCAGATGCCAATGACTCTGAGTTTGCTACCATGCTAGAATTGAGTGCTCCAGACATGCATTTGAAAGCCATGGCCTTTGTTCCCCTCCGTGCAAGGCTTTTTCTAAATGCCATCATTGATTGTAAAATGCCACTCTCACTGTTTGCACAGGATGATGGGAATCGGGTCTCTGGGCAGGGCGAGTCAATGGTTCGTTATGCAGACAATGAGACAAAGCTTCTGGATAAGCTTGTACATGTTCTAGATACCCTGCAACCTGCAAAATTTCATTGGCAATGGATCGAGCTCAGGCTTCTCCTAAACGAGCAAGCCCTCATCGAAAAATTAGAGGCCCATGATACCTCCTTAGCAGATGCTGTATGCTCTCTCTCCCCAAATCTTGATAAAGCCGCTGCTTCTGAGAACGAGAACAACTTTATTGAAATCATTCTCACAAGATTACTGGTCAGACCTGATGCTGCTCCCCTCTTTGCAGAGGTCGTGCATCTTTTTGGGAGGCCACTTGAGGATTCAATGTTGTTGCAAGCTAAATGGTTCCTCGGAGGCCAGGATGTTCTTTTTGGTCGGAAATCCATCAGGCAACGGCTTATTAACATTGCTGAGAGTAAGGGCCTGTCAACTAAGGCCCAGTTTCGGAAACCATGGGGCTGGTGTTGTTCTAATTTTGATCTTTTGACAAACAAAGTGGACAAGTGCAAGTTTGAGGCCACCTCTCTTGAAGAAGGAGAAGTAGTTGAAGATGGTACTGACATAAAAAATCATGGAAGGGGATCCACCCAAGTGCTGGATGTCGAAGGCTTCAATGTCAGTCAGCAGCATGTAACTGAGAGGGCTCTTATTGAATTAGTTCTCCCTTGCATAGATCAAAGCTCGGATGACTCTCGTAATACCTTTGCAAGTGATTTGATCAAGCAGATGAATAATATTGAGCAGCAAATGAATGCAGTTACTCGTGGTGCAAGTAAGCAGGCTGGAGCAGTTACTTCTGGTATTGAAGGTACTGGAAATAAAGGCAATAACCGTAAAGGTATTAGAGGTGGCAGTCCTGGATTAGCTAGACGACCAACAGGTGTGGTTGATATTGTTCCAGCTTCCCCTGCAGCATTGCGAGCTTCCATGTCATTGCGATTGCAGTTTCTTATGAGATTGCTTCCCGTCATCTGTGCAGATAGGTGACAATGATAATCTTATTTTCAAACTTCTGTTACTGCTATATTGTTAGTGGCTTGTATGTTGTACTTGCTTTAGCTTTTGCCTGAAAGTATCTTTGTTGGAATAACTAATCCTTTTTATCACAATTTGTTTCTGAAGAACTCATCTTTGTATCTTGTTCTTCTTGCACCTCTTTTCCCCCATTAATAACTTGGGAGTTGCTGTAGTTGATGTTAGCAAAAATTTCACTAATTGTAGGACAACTACTGCTTCATTTTCCTCACCCTATAGAAGAATAGTAATGCTTTGAACCGGCCTATCTCAAGAGAAATTGCCTAATCAGTTGAACATCCCTGATATGCTTTCATCTTTATTTGACTTGTCAGGGAACCATCAAGCCGTAACATGAGGCACTTATTTGCCTCTGTAATTCTCCGTCTCCTTGGAAGTAGGGTAGTGCATGAGGATGCAGACCAGTCCTTTTGTCTGACGATGAGTTCTTTGTTAAAGAGGGAGGTGGAGTCATCAACCGAAGCTTCTGCTGCTGCTTTGGTAGATTTATCTGGTGAAAGTCTCTTTGATCGCTTACTGCTGGTGCTGCACGGGTTGCTGAGCTGCTACCGGCCAAGTTGGCTGAAGTCAAAGCCTAGCTCCAAGTTGACCACTGAATGTACGAAGGACTTTCCTATGTTTGATCGTGAGGTAGCAGAGAGTTTGCAGGTTTGATCTTTATCAATTATTATCCAATGATTAGTCTTTGTTTTGGACTTTTGATGGATTATCCAGAATTAAGGAAAAATCAAATAGAGGAAGGCCACTAAACTTCCTCCCGTTAATATCTTATATATTGTTCCTGGAAGAAAGTGGCTTTGATAAATGGTTTATTAACTACATATTATGTCAAAAGTTCCCAATTCTAATTATAGATGATAATCCAACCTGTTATTTTTGGAAGCTTGTGTGAGAAAGAAATGTGAAAGCAAATCTAAATGTGCGGAAGAAAAACCAAAATGGGGGATATGCCCTGTAAATTGAGTAATTTGCATATTTTTTATGCTCAAATAATGAGTTTTCTTGCTCATTTGGGAAGTAATTATGATCACCAAAACGTAAATAATATATCTATATTTGAACTCTTAACAGTGGAGAGAAACTTGACTAAGTGAATGTTGCCATGCCACAATAAGCATTTAAACGGTACATGTGGATGGGTCGATGGAACACCAGTGAAGGCCTAGGCCCAGTTGTTCAGCCTCTGTTGCACTTTGTGGGCTGTTCACCTAACATCTTCCTACGTGGGACAAGTATACGTTACTATAGTCTTACATTTAATACAAACGGATGAGCTAACATTTATGCGAAGCCTGGAAAGTTTACTACCTGATCGATAATTTATTCCCTAAGAATGTAATTATTGGGTCACATTGATATGCTTTTTTAGTTAAATAAAATGGCTAATAAACTTTGCTCAGGTGGTGTACACATTTTATGGAACATAGCTTTAGTACACAAGAAGCCTTTTTTGTATTTGGTGTTTTGTTTTCCAATTCAGCATGTCTTATTTGTTCCTAATGGATGCAGAATGAATTGGATCACATGCAATTGCCGGACGCTATCCGGTGGCGTATCCAATCTGCAATGCCAATTCTTTTCCCTTCTGTCCGGTGGTCCATCTCTTGCCAGCCGCCATCTGTCTCACCTGCTGCCCTTGCTTCCCTTCAATCAAGTATCTCAATTTCCGGATTGAACCCGGGAAATTCAAACCCATCCCAGAGAAATCCAGCTTCTTTGGTGCGAAATGCCAATAGTGTTGCAGGGAAGACGAAGACATTGCCAAAACATCAGGATCTTGATATGGAGATTGACCCATGGACTCTCTTGGAGGATGGAGCAGGATCAGTTCCTTCATCAAGTAACACTGCTGTGATTAGCGGCGGTGACCATGCTAATCTAAGGGCATCCAGTTGGCTTAAGGGGTGTGTAAGGGTGAGACGGACAGATCTGGTATACATTGGAGCTGTGGATGACGACAGCTGATTAAATTGAATTTATTCTTGGTTTGGTCCAGAATCCTCCCCCTCCCCGCATGCGTCGGTGGTGCTTGGCAAAAGGGAGCCTGCTGTCAAGGAGAGAAGAAAAGGGGGAGGTGGGAAACATTCTTTGGGGGGAGGGCTGAGGTGGTTGCAAAAGAACGATGAAGATGGTCTCCATCAGCCCAACCATACAGGTCTCGGAGCCTTTTTGACTACTAACCTTCATATCACTCCTGTGTTTCTGGACCGTGCGCTTAGAAGGCGAGGTTAGGAGGGGTTTGTTGTACATATAGAGATAAATTGTTTTGCTTTTTTTGAACTGACTAAAAATATCAGTATCTCAAGATTGATCTGTAGCTGTTGTTTCATGCCCTCTCATCAATATCTTGTTACATTTTAATATCTCACCAGTTCAGGTGAATTAAAGTATCTCAAGAATGATCTGTAGCTGTTTAATACTACTACTCATCAACATCTTGTTTAATCTTATTATCTTCCAAATTGAGATGAGTAAAATTTCTAAAGAATGATCTTGTAGCTGTTTGTTCATCAATTCTCGTGCGTAACTGTGGTGGTGGTTATCTGTTTTTGGACTCATTAATATTTTTGATTGGCTGAGATTTATGAGTAAGCTTTTTAAATGCACGATGGTGGATGCATTTAGACATATGTTAACATCATTATGTTTAGCAACTGCAACTATTGATGATGCTTAATATCTATCTATCTTTCTATCTGTCTGGAAAGCTGACCTGTCCCTTGGTCACATAATAATTACATATGTTGTGGCATTGTATTTTAGACATACACTTGAAAACATACATAAAAAATGCATCATATGAGGGATGTTTGAATATGGAGTCTCCATCACGGTTGAAAAGCCATCCAATATTCGAGGGACTTTTTTTTTATTTTGGGTTGTGTTTGTTCTTCAAATTTGTGTTCTTATTCATTTTTTTTCCCAGATTTAGTTGTACCTAGTTTAGATACAGTGTGGTTTTTCCCATGATAGACTGTAAAGTTGAGGTTCTAAGATGCTCATTTGCTTTTATGATTCACTGGTAAATTGTAATCTAGTTCTCATAGAATTGCTGCTTTTTCTTTTATTAATAGTTTTTTGTCTGGTAACTGATCTTTCTTTTAATGATTTTTTTTTTGTGTCTGGTGGTCTTTGTTGAAGAGGTACCTTTCACTCTCGCTCTATCTAACATATTCTATGTGTTCTTTGTTCATTGTTATAAAAATCCCAAGGTAAAAAAGAAGAAGGCAAATGTCTCTTGAAAAGAATTGGAACCTTGGGATTTCATGGGAATTGGAATTTAAAAAGAATTTTACTTATTTAGAATGATGGGATTTTAAAGGAAAATTATTTTTGCACTGAATAGTTGCAGTGAATTGCTAGTTATATTTGGTATAAATAGCCAATAAAAAATTATTCGGCTAGACAATTCACATAGGATTTGATGATATTTATCCCAAACTGGTACAAAGTTTATTTTACTTCAAATTCCTTTTAACAAATTCCAGTTTCTTCCAAACATTAAAATAGTATTTTATTTAATTACAATCCAATTTCCATTTTCAATTTCAAATTCTAAAGGAACTTGGTTCAAAACAAAGTGTAAATTTTCTTCATTACAATGTTAAATCTTGGATTTTGAAACCAAATCTCTCTGGATCATTTATTTTCTCTAATTATTAGCAAACCAAACATGAAAATCATTATCCCTCCCTTTCTTTTATTTTCCATCAATCCAAACGCAGCCTTAGTATCATCATCCGAAAAATGGAAGAATCCTCTCCCCAATTGACTCTTACATATATTTACATTCCTTGGTAACAAAATAGACAAAAACAAAGCCATCAAGCAAGTGCTACAAGCTAAGGTTAATAAATTATATTTTCAAAAAACATACTGTAGTTCATATCCATTATCTAATAATAATACACCAAACAACCATAACTTAAAGGTATCGCACAAAAGAAGTGACAAAATTTCCAACAGACACAAGCCTATTACACTGAGTTGCAATGTTCGACTCAGTGCCTTCTCGCTTCTGGAAAGCATCATCCCTGAAAGCTTGTTAATTTCGTACAGGAGTTCAGCAGAGAGAACAAACCTGCATCAGAATTTAAACATATTAGTATGGCATTATAAGCATTTCAATTTCTTTCTACGTTCCTATTAATTATATATATATATATATATCTATTGCTTAATCTAAAAGCATTCACATATTTGGTAAATTCAAATGCCACAACAAAATGAACCGTTTCCGTTCCCATAAAATAGTTCTTCCTGCTATTTTGATGTGGCCTGCATTAATAGCTGACTATTGAAGCACTTTCTAAGTTTTTTAACCATTTTTTCTAAATCCGCTTCTTTCCCACACTCGGAGACATTCTTTTCCTATCAGCATATAGAAAAAATGGTTAAAAAATGAATGTCTCCGAGTGTGGGAAAGAAGCGGATTTAGAAAAAATGGTTAAAAAACTTAGAAAGTGCTTCAATAGTCAGCTATTAATGCAGGCCACATCAAAATAGCAGGAAGAACTATTTTATGGGAACGGAAACGGTTCATTTTGTTGTGGCATTATATATATATATATATGCTGATAGGAAAAGAATGTCTCCGAGTGTGGGAAAGAAGCGGATTTAGAAAAAATGGTTAAAAAACTTAGAAAGTGCTTCAATAGTCAGCTATTAATGCAGGCCACATCAAAATAGCAGGAAGAACTATTTTATGGGAACGGAAACGGTTCATTTTGTTGTGGCATTATATATATATATATATGCTGATAGGAAAAGAAATAATGATTTTCAAATAACAGCCAATGCATTAATAGTCAGCTATTATGCTGATAGGAAAAGAATGTCTCCGAGTGTGGGAAAGAAGCGGATTTAGAAAAAATGGTTAAAAAACTTAGAAAGTGCTTCAGTAGTCAGCTATTAATGCAGGCCACATCAAAATAGCAGGAAGAACTATTTTATGGGAACGGAAACGGTTCATTTTGTTGTGGCATTATATATATATATATATGCTGATAGGAAAAGAAATAATGATTTTCAAATAACAGCCAATGCAATTAACTCGAAGCGAGGGATAGCATAATTGATAAAATCTCATTCCCCCTATTACTGGAAATGAAGTTAAATCAAGTCTATCCAGCCTTCTCCCTGAAAAAAACACGAGAGTTGATGCGTCCAATGGATTTTACAAATAAAGCTTGCTATAACACAGTTTAGGAGTGCATTTCTATTATTTTAGTCACCATACTGAAGGAAATCCTTTCTTCTCTTATTTCTGAAACTCAACATGCCCTTCATTCAAAACAGAATGAAAACATTTTCATAGCTCATGGGGAATTGTCGCATAGTCCAAGTCCCCTTTAGATATGACATCCAAACCGGATAATATTCACAAAGATTTGACTCAATAAGATTGGAGTTTCTGCTTGACACCTTGAATAGTAAATTAGGTTATTTAATGCATGCTGATATAGGATTTTAATTAAAAAACGATATGCATGTAGCCAAACAGACCCAGATAGACCCTCTGTGATGTCATGCCTTGTGTACGCTTGCTGTGTATTCCAATCTCACACACGTGTTAATCATCAAACACAGATGCACTGCATTGCTGTTAGACATTTTTTCCCCAACTGTACAATGCACTTTTGTGTTTTATAATTGCTATGAATTTAATATTTCACATTAAAAAATTATTATACCATTCATTATCACAATATCTACAATTGCTAAGCCTTGCGCCTAGGCTCCAAGAGACCTTGGCACCTTATTGTACCATGCACCTTAAACAACTATGCTAAGATTAGATGTTAATAGTGGTTTTTAGCTATGATATTCTCCTGCAATTATGCACATGAATTTGAATGGTCATGAGACTCATTACGTTGATCTGAACATTATTAAATGGATCTGTGTCAACTGATTTGGGAAATGTGTAATAAATTGGAAGGCTCAAAACCCATTCAAGACAATAAATTGCAACTTAGACAAAAATATAATATAATACAATAAATACACTTATTAAAATATAATTTAGTTAATAAAATTAGCGTTATATTGAAAACATAAAAATTGATATGGAACAAAAATGAGTCTTAAGATTGAAAACTTACATTAGTTGGTTAAACCTTAATTTTTTATACGCTAAAATAACATTTAATAATTATGGTTTCTGGATATTGTTGATTGGTTGAAGGGGCCATCCAGGAATAGGACAAAGCATGCCCAATAATGTAGAAGTGGTCCACGACTAAGAACCCAACGTGTGTATTCAATAATCTGGGACCACACACACGTTGTTTTAATTGTGAGAGTGCATGATCTCATACTTGTGGCTTAAGTTGATTGGAGTCTGGGAGTGCATGATCCTATGCCCGTAGCTTACATTGATTGGAGTATGGGAGCGCATGATATTAAACTCGTGGTTTATGTTAATTGGTGATGAGTTGTGCTATGGCTTATACATTAGATTGAGATTGAGTAACTATCATTTGTTGAGCCCGTGGCTCATGATGGTTAATAAAGTAAAACCTAATAAATTTTAATCGGAAGGATGAACTACTTAGAAATTTGAGCAAAAGAACATGTTCAACATATGAAAAAATAATAAAAGTAAATCAAGATGGTAAACTAATAAACTGATCAAGATCTAAAAAGTAATTGCACTAGTGGGAGATTGGACCTAAATATTTTACTTAATGAGGTACTAATTACTATATCAGAATGAATATGCTAATTAATCAGAGAATAATTATAATATGAGGCTGGAAATGTTAATTAATGAGAAATAATTGATTATCATTGCAAACAGGTTTAAAATAATTAATGTCATATTAATTATTGTAAGTTGCTTTTATATATGAGAACATAACGTAAAATCAATTTGGTGATCTTTGAACTTATTGAGCTAGTGAACTCACCCCTTATTTATCTTACAGGTACTCATAACGTGGCCCGTGACAAAATGGAGCTTTTTTATTGAATTTATTTTTTGTTTATTTTCTAGCATGAGTGACTATTGTAGCAAGGATACCACTGATGGACTAGGATTTTATTAGTTCATATAGGGTTTATTGTGGACTTATTTTATGGAATATTATTATTAGTTGGTGGTACAGTTCTACTACAGTTATTGCGAATGGTTTAATTTTATATTGGTTTTAAGTCACGACTAGATTTATGTATTAGAGTGGATGCTCCAACCAATGTAAAGAAGTGTTGAACCTTATAAAATTCTGGTGAAAGAAGCGTTAAACTTTCTAGAATTACACAAAAATCCTAAATATTTTTTAATACAAACACATATATTTGTTATAAGAATTCTAGATATTTCATTCTAATTATTGGAATGGTTGAATCGAGGAAGTAGATATTTAGTGAAGCTGTAAGTAGGGGTGGCATCCTCACTTGCATCTTAAATATCTCTATATCCACTTATCAAAATAATAATAATAATTATTATAAAATAAAAAAAAATCCCTCAATCCAATATACTGGTTCAGTTATTCAAATTATTTAGTATTTTTTTTATCGTTCCAACTTAAACTCTTGGAAGCACATGGAAGTTATGAAAGAGATTCAAGGTCAAGGATAATAGATATCCCTTTCTTTTCTATTTTGCTAAAATAAGACCATTAATTACACAATAAACCAAAAAAATAAAATTATACGCACCAGCGCCCCACCCAGTCCTGATGCCAACTGTTTCCTGATAATTTCCAATGCACTGCAATAAGAGCATTGTATGAGCCAAAATGAAACTTTCAACTGCAGGAGTAACAAGCAACATTCGTTACTTACCAATGACCAACAATAGTCAAACCACAATTCAAAAATGAAGGCAAAGGAAGTTCTTCAAATGCCCAAGATCCTCATCTTCCACAATACCTGGAAGGCTGGAAACATAGCACCTGATTGATCCCTCATGATTTTGAACCCACAGCTGCATTGTCAGAAGCCTGGATCATGTTGCATCGACCAACAATCTTCCGAAAATCATCAAGGCTTAGCTGCAAAGGAAAAGAAGGCCATCACCAAGCGTTGTCCCCTTCATCAGGATGGTACTAGGAGTGGCTGACTGGGTACAAAATCAACCTTCACATTATTTGCACTAAGTAGAAACCCTAAAAGGAACGCTCTTATGCAGAGACTCCCTAAATCACTCATGAGATTCTTGGGATTCCCAAACAGACTGTAACCCTGAATTTGATAATTATTTTGGCCTTCAATTATGCTTGTTACAGGCAGTAAGCAACTGGGCCATATGACAAAATAAAACATGTTTAGGAAGCATATACTTTCTTGTAAAGCGTAGGGAGTAGAGTTGTTTTTACTTCAAAAAACATGGGGTTGGTGTTGAACATGCGTCAAAAGTTAATGCATTGACATATAAAATTGAAACTTGATTAGTTTCAGATTAGTTTCAGATACACTCTAACTTTATTGATTTGTCTGCATCAAAAGCCATCTGATGCAAAAAGATATTTTCCAATTTACATTAACTCATGTCATTAAATTGAATCAAGGTTTTAAGGTTATCTGATGTAACATGGCTTTCACAAGAATTTTTTCAAACTGGTAGTGGGTACTGAAGGATGCTAATTCTCTTTTACTTTTTTTTTTTTTGATAAGTGCTAATTCTCTTTTACTTCAAAAGGTTGATATGATGCGAAAGAAATGGAGGGAAGGGAAATTAGATAGCAGAAAGAAGATTGGAGATAAGAGGGTGGAAACTGCAAAACAAATCTTCTAAGCCTCTTGTTCACGAAAGAAAACAGTGAAGAAAAGAGAGAACACAAGAGAAAAGAGTGACAGGCACAAAAAACTTTGACTTCATGTTTCTCAAATGAGAGAAAAGATATGTATATATAATATACCTATAGACACACACACACACACACACACACACACACATATAAAGAGAGAGAGAGAGAGGGAAGAAAATGAAAATAAAGAGAGAGGAGGGAAGGAGAAAGAGGCAAAGACTGCATATTTCAAACAATATATCATATTGTCATCTCACGAAACCCGTGCCAACTATTGTGCATCATTATTTCTATAGATTCCAGACAGTATAGCCACAGCCAAAAAGTAGAGGATATGGAAAGAATAATGAAGCCAAGAAGAATTTCTGATTAGAGTCATTACTTTTTCCTAAGTTTTTCCAGTTTTGATAATGAACTAACATTTGTTAGAAATTCTAAGGCGTCATTTTACCATTGCTTAAAAAAATTTCAAACTCTTTAATTTTGGGTACCATCAGCTAACTATTTACCGATGGCAAAAGAGATCAGAAGGCCATTTGCAATTTCACCCAAAAAAAAAAAAATTTCAGAAAAGCACAGAACCAGTTCATGATTTCAGAGAGAGTGATTGATTTGCATTGCAAGTTCATCCTTCATCCTCCTTTTTACATTGCATTTACTTTTCAAAAATTTAAAATATTTTTTGTTTGGTAGGTATTTTTCATTCTTTCTTTCTTTGTTTTTTTGTTTTTTTTTTGAATATTCATCCAACAATATATATTGATATAAATTAAAATGAAGAAGAGCAAGTAATGACCTTCCCATCTCCATCATTGTCAAAGCAATAGATCATATCAGCCATCTCCTTGTCCGTCCATGTAAAATCATGAGCAGCTGCTACTCGCCGTAAATCTCTCATTGTTATGCTTCCTTTCCCTGCTTCTGTGAAGCAACATTTCACCTCATCACTCACTTAAATATGGAAACTGAAGTAGTACAGCTAAATAGATTGCAGTGACATTTACAGAGTTGAAAAAAGATTTCTCATTTAATCAATCCTCAAATTTCTTGGGTGGTTTTTAGCTCTTATTACCACTTTTATCGGAACGGTTCAACTCTTTCCAAAAGTGTCAAGTGTATGTCTATGGAGTTGAAGTTGAGTATCACTGAGAGTTGTTCAAAATTTATAAATTATAATGAAAGGAAACAAAGAACAGAGCTAGTCTTGAAAATAACAGGTGCACAAACATGTGGGTAAAGACAATATTTTCTGGACCGTGCACCTTTTTGGTTAAAAAATTAAAACTTCACATGGAGGAACTTATTCTCTGTCTATGCACCTAGGTGAAAAGAGAGAGACTCCAAGGGGCTCTTGGAAGAAGATTAAAAATTATATTGCATATAGATACCATTAACGTGAGATTACCATCAAACTGAAAGAAGTGTACAACCAGTTCATCCTCAGTCATTTGCACCCGACTGGCTATCTGCAGTGCAGAAGGAGACCACCAATAAGCCAAATAAGCGTTAGGCAAACAAAAGCAAGAAAACCATCTCATTATAAAAGAAAACACTAAGCCAAGCCCAAAGCAAACCGATTTTTTCCTCTTCCTCTTTCCTGTATCTTCCTGAATGTTGGCATTTCCCTTTGTTTCACTATGCATACCATCTATTACATGTGCCTCAGAGCTTTTAGAAGGCCCACTATGTCCCACATATAAAAATCCTGTGCAATCGTTTAGCGAAAGAGCAATTGCCTGCATAAATATGCTGCCAAATCAGCAAATTTCTTCTTGACAATCATTTAGAACACAAAAGCAACAATGGTCAGTTCATAATTCATTTTTAGCTCACTTATTCAACCAAAACAGCCAAAAGAAAAAGAAAGAAACATTCGAAAGAGGATAAATAAAAAGCAAAATGAAAAAGAAAGAAGAAGAAGAAAAAGAGGCTATTGTTCAAGAGCCTACTAAGTACCTTCATCAAGTCATCATCATTGTCATCAATAAAATCAGGATTGCTTGAGAGCTTTTGAATGGAAACCTTCTGCTTAGGATTTGATGTCTTTTTCTTTACCTGGTCAACAAGAACAATTGATAAGAGAATTCACACATCAAAACATGTCATTTTAAGATAATTTGTATCATTTTCCATACATAAGAGCATAAGATAACTAGATAAGCAAATGCATGAGACAATAGCAATGTGCACAAGGACACATTGGAAAAACCTGGCAGATAAACTCCAAATTAAACAAAGTGAATGATAAGATTCCTTAAGGGCTGACATACAAATATATCCTGCATTTAGATTGCATATCTTTTATAAGGGTTTACTTTCTCCCTATAGAAATAGAGACATAGGAGCTTGTCTAGGTTTGAAACTTGAGTAATGCAGATTGTCTTCTCAAACAAGAGGGTTAAATAAAATAACTTCCAATGGCAAGACATACTATAGTACTGCTTTTAAAACAAACTGAAAGGGTCATAATAACCATCCAACATTGGTGATTATTGCACAGTAATCAGAAAATTATAAATATTTGAATTTTAAAGTTGCTCAAACAATAAGATTTTATTTTATAGAAATAGAAATTTTGCAAGGTTCCTCAACTCTTCCGATTTATTTGATGTAACATCAAATTATTGCTCATGAAAATGGAAAGATAATAATTAAAACATTTTAGGAGTAGCCCCATCAAGATAAGTTAGCAAGATACTACCAACTACAAATGGAAGTAAGGTACACTAAAAAGGGATAAGTCATACGTACTGGGATATTTCAAAAAATTCTAGTGTAGAAAAGGGGAAGAAAACGTTGTTGAACTGGTAAATAATGAAGAAGGAAGAAAAATACAGACAGTGGCGACTGGCGAAGCTATTCAACTCAACAAAATCAATATTTGTTTGTTTGTTTGTTTGTTTTTTTTTTTTTTTCCAACTACTATGGATTGGTTGCTTTAACCCTATATTTATTAGGCTCTCTCTGAAAATATCCTCAATCAAACCATAGTATATTCTAAGGATTCATGTTCATATTGATCCCAACAAAAACTTTACATTGTACGTATAAAGGAGAAAAGTTAAGTTATTCAAGCAACTAGGAAAAATAGAAAGCTTTCATATTGGCATAGACATACATTTCTCACACAGAGACACACAGAAATGCCAAAATAATACAACTAGGAAAAATAGAAAGCTTTCATGTAATTTTACAGACAAAAACAGGAGAAAGAGAGAGTGAGGGGGAGGGAGGCCTAGAGAGAGAAACTACCTTTCCAATTGGAGACCCAGAACCCACAAGTTTCTCATTATCATCATCATCACTAGAGGAACTATGTCCCCGTTCTTCCTCGGGCGGCTTATACTCTTCATCGTCCTCCTCAACCATTTTCCTTTTACCCTTTCGGTCGCTCTTCTTCTTCTTCTTATTCTGAACCGAACCTATCAACGAAGAAGCTATTTTAGGCAAACCCATGGCCTCCATTCTCGCTCTATCCTCTTCAATTCTCTTCATCCTCTGTTTCTCGTACTCTGACATGCCTTGTCTTCCTCCCTTTCCTGCTGTTTCAAGCTTTTCTGAACTCCAATCCGAGTCACTTTCGTGGCTCTCTGACCCCGATAAATCGTCTTCCGCCATCTAATGCAACTGGGTATCTGATTTTCCGATTGAATTGACGAATTGCAGACCTTTTTCTATGGATCGGATTGTGGAAGGGCTGGTTTTTGTCGTGGGGTGGAGGTTTAAGACTCGGTTCAATGTGTAATAAACCCAATTCAGATGCCGAATGAAATAAACTTATTCAATGAAGTAGTCTCGTTAATACTAACATCTTAAAAAAAAAAAAAAAAAAAAAAATTGTATATTTAATTTAAATATGTAAGAATTCATAATGTTAAGTCTTCGTAATTTGTAATTTTAATTTAAACTTATCCAATGGTGGGAGGGTTTCTGTAATTATTTTTGTGTTATTTATATAAAAATTTAATATTTTGCTGCTATAACTTTTTTTTTTTTTAAAATAAAAATTAGATGACACAATCTTTATATTTGCGTCTTCTCAATGTGAAAGAATATAGTGATAAATTTATTGAAATGGTTTTGATTAAAGTTTTAAAATTAAAATTTCATTTATTTCCTCATAAATCAACCATACAAATTAACACTACTTTTTTCATTTTTTTCTCTTTTCTCCCTAGATCAATTATTTTTTTTTTCATGTACAACAGTAAATATTAAAGTGATATATTGTAAAATAAAATTATAGTCAAAATGATACTCCATAATTTATTTTGCTCAAATGATGTCAAAAGAAAAAGAAAAAGAAAAAATATATAAAAATTTGACTAATTCGTTTAATCTAAGGTAAATAAATTTCTTATACTGCACCTAACATCAATAAAAAGATATTTTGTAGTGTTATATATATTTTTAAAGAGGATTTATGTACAATATATTATTTTGTGGTGATACACTTGGTGTAAATTGTGAAAGGTCTCCCCAAATTATTAGGTTTTGCTAAGAATGCTTTGCAATATACTTTTGTGCACAATCAAGTGTAAGCTAAGTCTTACCAACAAAATCAAAAACTTTTTATTGACCTCTATAACTGTGCTCTCTACATTAAAGTTCATATTTTAAAGAAGACTTTTAATACGAGTCCCCTGACCAGGGACAGTTCATGAAACTGACCAAAAATTATACTAGTCCATAGAAGGTGCAGAGGACACACATACACATTACACATATTATTCCACCTTTTGTAATGAATGTAAAAACAAACTTGGGATAAAAGAAAATATATGTAATAAAAAAATAAAAAATTTGGGATTGTCCTTTTCAACCCCAAAGGGGACAAAAATAAGACGTCGGATTCATTGAAACTTCCCTGGTGGTAGCCGGACACTTCCTACACGACTTCACAGTCAACTGCATCTCTCTCTCTCTCTCTCTATATATATATATATATATGTATGTGTATATATATAGACACACTCTTGCAGGTTTGAGAGAAAATTAGGGCGGGTAGACAATGGATGATGATAAGAAGGGAGAGATAGATGGTGCTGTTGGCAACACAGAAAAGACAGACTCATCTGTTGATGAAGCTTTGAAGAAGTGTTTGGAGGAAAACAAAGGGAACAACACCAAGTGCAAATCAGTGATTGAAGCATTCAACTTCTCTTCTTCAACAAACAAACCAATTACACCTTTGAAGCTTAAAAGTGGTTCATTGACTGATGTATAGTGACATAAACAACATGGTTGTGTTAATTTCTTCTTTAAATTGAGCTATTTTCTGTAACCCTAGTTTTTATTTTATTTTATTTTGTAACCCAAGTTTGTTCTTGAGTATTGTAGTGTATTTTATTAGACCATTAGCGGCTATGCTGTTGAGTCTTGACTTGTACATGATTGCAAAATAAATGAAGTTTGGTCATTGTGTAACAACACTTGGGAAATAGTCAGACTTCAGATGTTATTTCTACTTTCTTCCCAAAAAGATTGATACATATATTTCCCTGGAAAAATTTTCTGTCTAAACAAACATGGAATCTATGTTGAAATTTCGACTGAATGTCCAACACCTACTTATACACATTCTATGAAAAAAGAAAAGTGCTGTTTGTGTCTTGTTTAGTACACATCTTCATATATACTTTGCTTCTCAATGGTTGAATTTATGTAGTGCAAAAATGAGATGCTCATAAAGATGTGAAGGCTGAAACTAGAGTATCAAGAACTGGAATACTAGGTTAGATGCTTCTTAAATTACATTGGATAGGCTTCAGATGCACAGAAATAAACCTATTTCTTAGGCTCTTCAATTTGGCTTCTGTTCTATATAAATAGAGACATACATAAAAGAACTTGAATTTTTTTGTGGTTTCTAAACTACTTGACTTCTTGTGGATCTATCTACATATAGAACGTCTTCAATCCAAGCAACAGTGTTGAATGCCAAACCTTCCAGCACTCTTGAGTAGCTCTCTAGGATTGCTTGCCCCAAGTCCTGCAAAAAAGTAAAATTTCATTGAGTTTCTTTCCATAAACGATCCACGATTAGTCCTTTTCGTGTATAATTCACACATAGATACGGTTTACTGAGTTTCAAAATTTGACAATGATATATAGAATAGAATGTAGATCAACTACATATTTTGTTTTTACCTTATTGTATTGGATCTTGCAAATGTCCAAGCTTGTCTGTGAAAGTTCAGGGTACCTCTGCTTCAAGCAGAACAACAAACTCTCAGCTCTCTCTGCTAAGAAGTGATTTTTGTCACTCCTGTCAGTTTCAGCCATGAGATCCTTTACCATGCTCCATGATGGTTTCGAATGGCTAATGCACGCTTTACGTCTCCATATATACATTGAAGCTTCAACCCGGTCTGCAAGTTCGAGTGCTTCATGCTCAGAACTTATATTGAGGCAGTCCATCAGATAATCAGGGGAAAACTTGTCCGCGCTACACATGTAGCGATAAATTGAATCGCCTACACTTGCTTTTCCACACTGAAACACAAAAATGTTTTATCCCCTTTAATCAAAAGTTCTAAAATCATGACCATGTGTGGTTTAGTTTTCTAAAAACTGAGATAAAAAAAGTTCCTAATTATATTGCATTCCCTAATAGTTTCTGTTTTCAGAATTTCTTAGAACTATTTTCAGATAATTGAAACTGTAGGATCAGCATAAAGAACAAACCTTAGGAAGTGATGCCATGTATGAGTCTGGGATTTCCATCTCAGAAAGAATGCTACTATTGATGGCCATTGCTGCTTTGTGAATTTGATTGGCGAGGTCACGTTTGTGGCGCAAGTGCTTCCTTGACTTCTCAGAGAGGCCGGCAGGAGGAACACGCGGATCAGGCAACCACCATTTCTCCTCTTTACGCTGGGGCTGAGGAATCCGCCTAAATGAGCCAGATCGTGTTGAATTACCTGACATGCTTCCCTGCTCCACATACCAAAACTCTGTGTCCTGAAAGGTCTCTAATATTTCCTGTCAAAGATAATTCAGGCCTTTCTTAGCAACCCTTTGGTTCTGGACAAGAAAAAAAAATGGTTAGCGTTGGGATAGATAAATTATCTTACAAGGAGCATTGCGTCAAGCTTTCTCAATGCCGGAAGGTTCATATAAATATCTGATCTGGGCCTGCTTGTCATCACCTGAAAACCAATGGTGTCAACATAAGCAAACATTTCAAATTAAAACTTGAGCTGATAAGTGTGAACATAAGCAAACATTTCAAATTAAAACTTGAGCTGATAAGTGTGAGGACACAAATTTTTCGTCAAGTAAGTTACCAGACCTCGAACCCTGACCTAAACAGGCTTGCAAGGATTGGTGTGAGGACACGAATTCAAATATGAAATATGAAACTCATCAATAGTTGAAAGAAGATTTTACCTCAAGAGCTGTCCCATCTTTTAAATTTTGTGAGGCTGGGAAGAATTCAACAATGTAATCACACACAGATAGGAGACAATTCATTTCTCTCTTCCACATTAACTTCTTCTCAGGATGAAGAGGTTCTAACCTCAGGTGTTGGCCAAACACAGAAGCTGCATAAAGCAACATATATCATGAGCAATGGCATAGAAATAGGGACACACACACACGCTTCAAGAAGCTGCATAAAGCAACATATATCATGAGCAATGCCATAGAAATGGGGAAAACACACACACACACACACACACACACACACTTCAAGAAGCTGCAGAAAAAAACTTTTATCATGAAGCAATGGCATAGAAATAGAGAAACACACACACCCACACTTTAAGAAGCTGCATAAAACAACTTATATCATGAGCAATGGCATAGAAATAGGGAAACACACACACACACACGCTTCAAGAAGCTGCATGAAACAACTTATGTCATGAGCAATGGCATAGAAATAGGGAGAAAACACACACAGTTCAAGTTTGGTAATCTGTTTGAAAAACATACCATAGAGATTGGTTATGGAATTAGAGATTGTAACTGCTGTGCATACACCTTTCCCACTTCCAGACATGTCTTCACCCAACAAAAGCTTTGAAAATCTTTCCTTCATCATTTCAAGCTCTGCCAAAATTTTCACACACCACTTTAGCAAATCTGTACCCCATATTGATTTTGTAGCTCATCTTTACATATAGAAATCAGAAACCATATGACTCACCTATATCTAGTGCCTCTTGATCATCAGGCTTCTTGTCCCCTTCAAGCTTGTGCATGTTCCTCATTCCAAACCTTGAGAGAACAGACTGATGGGGAGATTTCGGGACCGGCCAACACGAAGGAGAGGCTGTGTCAGAACAGCTGTTCTGATCATCAGTGGGCTCTGAGAAGCCAGAGGTCTCTGAATAAGTTCTGCAGTATGTGAAAGAATCGCCGCTCAGCGTCGAACACCCGGGAGTTTCTGTAGATGATTGATCATTTTGATCCACTGAAGAAGGTGAAGGATGATAACCCACATCATCATTCTCATCTGCATTTGATACATTTTCCATCTGAGCACTGTTTAGGTTCATATGCTCAAATCTGCATAAATCATGAAATGTTACACAAGATTTCAAAAATGATTTCACAAACAAAATTGGGGGGAATTCATGGCAATTCATAGTCAAATTCAGCTTCAATTGTAAGATTCATATATGAAAAAAAGCATGATATATCAGTATCACAAAAAGCAAAAGAGGTCTATTATATCTGAATTTTGAATAATTCACTGAATTTTTGCAGCAAAGTATCACTATAAAGCAATCTTTGGAAGATAAAATTAGATAGGTGAGCAAAACAGAAATTTGAAAATTTAAGGCCAACGGTTTCTTTTTAAGAAAAAGCAACGGTAAAAAAATATTCTTCATGTTACCTTTAATTTGAGCGGTTTGAAGGCATCAGGACCGTTTGAAACAGTTCCCTCCTACTAATCTTTTTTTTCTTCACAAACCTTTTCTTTCCAAAAGAAACTACTTTCTCTGAATCCAAACAAAATTATATAACCAGATGATCATGAATGACAAGAAATCTGAGCCGTTGATCGCAGAGTATCAAACTAGCAAGACCCAGATGCAGAAATGGCTGTATTGATACTCTGAACAAGTACAGTGAGGCATTGAAATGTATATATTAGTTGGACATGAAATGTATATATGATTTTCAAATTATTTGAAATTTTGTAATGAATATAATAATTTCACCTCCTAGATGTGCATGAACTGGTCCCATTAGCTGCTTCCATCAACCTTAAAAACTATATATAGTTGTGTTGTTAGCCCATACTTGTATTAGTTTTAGTGAGTAATGAGGATTGATATTTGGTCCATTTTTAATCGGGAACTAATTAATTAAAAATATACATTAATATGGTCGTTTAAACTTTTAACTATACAAATTAAACGAGTTTTCATATTCAATTTTATATAATAACTACTCTTATCATACGATAAGAAAAAAAATTTAATATCCTATGATTACCTATTATATAGTATTATCCGCCCATAAACACCCACCATTTCCTTTAATAATAAAAAATGATAATTCTACCAGCAACGAAAAAGTAATTGGGAAGGAAGCAAATATAGTAATATACTCAAGGTGTTATTATTAATTTTATTAATGGTGATAGGTGTAGGCATTCATAAAGTCAAATTTAAATAAAAATATGATGGAATAGCGGCTATAATTTCAAAATCACACCATCAAATCGTTGAATAATGAATACATAATTCCCTATCGTCATTAAACGAACCAAGTGGAAAATTTATTAAGCACTAGGTCATGGGTGATGGGTCTCCAAATTGCACGTATTAGAATTTTAATATTATGTGGTAGCTAACTTGGTCGGAGGTTAGCTAGCTTAATTAAGATACATGTGAAAATGTGAAATACATTAGGCATTTGAAGATGACCGACATAGTATATGCATTAATATATATATATATATATGCATGTATGTATGATGTACGTGGACTCATGAGACAGACGTGCAAACCATTACTTAGTATTCTGACTACTTGTTATTTGTATGTCTAAATGAACGGGTGTGATGGGCATAGAATCAAAGGCATTTGAAAATTCATAATAAGACCAAATGCTTCTTTTTAAACAAATGTTGAAACCTACTCAATTTAAGGTGCAAATAATACTTAAAATTGGAATAGTTATAAAAGAAAAAGAAAAACAGGTCGTCAAAGAAAAAAAAGGAAAAATTACATATCGGTAAATTTAGTGGCCTTAAATAACAAAATAGTCTAATTTTAAACTTCACTTTTCAATTTGATTAAATTAAACAAAATAATTACAAATACATCAACAATTATTGTTAAGGTCCAAGATACCCTTCAAACTCTTATTCGAAAATACTAAAATATCATTATAATTATATAATAATAATGATATTTGGTCCAATATTTTGGAGTTGGTTTTGGTCCGATTTTTACTTGGCATGGACACATCATCGCTCTTACCATTTTTTTTTTTTTTTTCTTTCCAAAACGACGTTTCACTCATTGTTCAATTAAATTGCTTTCCATTCCCTCTATCTTCTTCTTCTTGTGTCCCTCTCTATCTTCATCGTCTCTCTCTCTCCCCTCTCGTTCTAGGTCTCTTTCTTTACTTGATTGTTGTTATTATTGCTGCTTCTGGTTTTGATAACTTTTCTGAACAACCACGTTGATGAGGGAGCGATCGCCATAACCGCCATGCCTAGAGGATTATTATACAGACACTTGTCTTTGTCGTCTTCCCTCAAATCTCTTGTACAGTGGCTTAAGCTTCATCCTTTTTATCTACAATGATTTGCTTACCAAAAAAAATTATAGAATATATTGAAAATTTTGGTCTTGGGTCAATTGATCTATACCCAGTATGGTCACATATTGAAAAAAAAAAAAAAAAAAAATTCAGAAAAATTTGAAATTAGACGGATCTAATTGAAGGGAGAGAAAGTCTCATTGAAGAGTGAAAATCTATTTGAAAACTAAGAACAAGCATCACAACTTGAACCCTAAACATCTAGGCCATCACCCAAATTTTACCATTGAAGAGAGAAGAAAAAAGAATGAAAAAAATCAAACCATATATAATTGAAGAAAGAGGTCTTCTTTTTTTTTTTTTTTTTTTTTTTTTTTTTTTTTTTTGTTTTTTTGGGCAGAAATAGAGGAGATGCCGTGGCAATGCCATGTTTGAGTCGGACTAAAATTGGCTCAGATGACATGGCAATGCTAGTCTCAAGGAATCTAAATTTGATAAGAAAATAGTGTTCTATGTCTTCAAGGAGTGTTTTGTTTCTTCAATTGGGCATTTAATCAAACAATTTATTTGTATAAAACCAAACCTTCTACAATTCCTCCAGACACACAACAAATATATACATCTTAAATTGTCATATTTATAAACAAAGCGTCTTCCTTACTATAGAATAAGAAAATATTATTCTACCAATAAAAGGAGATTAAAAATTATATGTATAAACATGTAAATAGTACATATACATAGGGAGAAAATATTATGTAAAATAAATTTGGATTTATAAGATACTCTTTAATAGTTTGCCATGCTTGTTGTAATGGATCTGATTTTCTTCAGTCACACTCTTTCCAAATACAGGATCCACCGTCAAGATTCCGTAGTTTCTTAATTGATTTTTGGTTTTTTGAAATTATATAACTCTAGGGATATTTTGGTATTTTAGAATAATAGTTTGGAGGGTGTTTTGGACCTTAATAATTATTGTTGACGTATTTGTAATTATTTTGTTTAATTCAATCGAATTGAAAAATCAATTTTAAAATTAGACTATTTTGTTATTTAAGGCTACTAAGTCTACCTATACGTAATTTTCCCAAAAATTAGCCACATAGTTAAGCATAGAGTAGAAAAAAAGGGGAAACAAAAAAAGAATAAAGGTTTGTTCTCCCTAACATTTACCAGATGTTATTATACCATAAATAACATGATCATATAAGTTATAATTACCTGTCAATGTTTTTGATTGATTATTTATGTACAATACAAATAAGTGGATTCCATTTTTTTATTTATTGCATAAATTTAAAAAATAAAAAATAAAAAAAATAAGTGCAAAAAACACCCCTCTCAAATGGTGCAAAAAAACTCCTATTAGATTTTTTGATGCACAAAACCGCTATTTGTCTTGGTGCAAGTTGTAGGTTTTTTTTTTTTTTTTTTTTTTTTTTTTTTTTTTTTTTGGGGTAAATCGTCTTGGTGCAAGTTAATAATCTATTTTGACCAATTTTTTTTTTATTTTTTTTCGGTAAATCGTCTTGGTGCAAGTTAATAATCTATTTTGACCAATTTTTTATTAAAATTTCAAAATTATCCTTTCCACATTCGGCCACCACCACAACATCATCTTCTCTCCTCTCTCTTTCCCTACTGGCCTTGTCACAGAACTGCCACCATTAACACCATTATAAAGAACAAAACATGAGCGACTAGCTAGGAAAATTCTTCACGTGTACAACTGTAATTTATTCAGTAGAATCACAAACGGAACAAATTAGTATATGCTTCCCTATTTATATATATATAGATACACACATACATACAAAGGAGGAAGCTTCTAGGAAATGGACAAGCTCTTTCACTGGATGGATTTCACTGCTACGGATTTTGCCATCAATGGACTTACGGACCCTTCATCACATAATGTGTCAACTTTGTACAATTTGTCTTGCTAAATACTGTCACATACCAAAGAACCTATGAAAATAATCATGTATACTAGTAACAACAAGACCAGAAGCTTTGCGAATTCGTGGAGCCGATTGCCGGTGGCGCACAACTCCGGCGCCGGAGAAGTACCTAGTGCTGGAGCTGAGATACTGGAGATCCGGATTTTGGTGGGTTTTCTGGCGGGTAGAGTCGCCAGAGCTTGCAGAAGAGCCGCCCACTGAACGCCTTGAACGATCCCAAAATCCACTTAATGCCTTGAACTGAACACCCACCTTGTCAGTTCTGTGACAAGGCGGGTGTTCAGTTCTGTGGCAAGGCCAGTCGAGAAAGCGAAAGAGAGGAGAGAAGATGTAGATGTGGTGGTGGCTGCATGTGGAAAGGGTAATTTTGAAATTTTAATAAAAAAATTGGTCAAAATAGATTATTAGGAGTGCACCAAGACAAATAACAGGGGGTATTGTGCACCAAAAAATTTAATAGGGGTTTTTTTTTTTGCACCATTTGAATCTAAGAGGGTAATTTTTTATATTTAAGCCTAAGAAAAATAAATCTAATAATTTATTGCAACAAATAAGTGTAAGAATCATTTTCCATAAGATTTTACCATCAGAGTTAGGGAGGGTGTAACCTCCCCCACCCTCTTCTCCGCCCAAATTCTAAAAAACGGAGGGACTTTTCACCCCATCCCAATAATCATTTAATATTTTTATCCCTGTGGGTACCTGCCCTTATCCGTTTAAGACCATAATTTATTTATTGTTGAAATAGATTTGTTTTTTTTTTTTTTTTTTTTTTTTATCATCTTCAGTTCTTTCACAATTGCAACTTTCCTTCTAATCAAATTCATTTGTTACTTTAATATTGTTATATAGGGTACTTAAGATATATACTGGGAAATATATATACTAATGAAATAAAGGTACTTAAATAATTTGTCTATTTAAACGGGACGGGGCGACCTCCCCCCGCCTTCGCACCAAACCTGCATGAGTTTTTATTACATCAAACCTATCTCTGTCCAAATAAACCAAACGGTCCTCCAAAACTGCCAAAAACGGAACGGGGCGGGGCGGGACGAATAACTGCGAAGACGGATCAAATTGCCATCCCTAAATTCAGAGTTGAGTTGCAAAAATCTCTTCTTTAATATATTATTCAAGTTTCAACGGCTTTTTTCTTTTTCCCTTTTCCAATTTCTGTTTTGGGCTAAAACGGAGCACCCAAGGTGGGATGGGCCGTAAGCCCAATAGATGGCTGGAAATATAGGATGTAAAATTGATTGAGATGGGCTAGTCAAACTGGCCCATTTTGTGGGGCGTTGGACATTGGGCCGACTACAGACTCAGGTCCTAAACTTTGTATTTCTTACATTGCGCTTGCTGTCTTGAGGCAAAGCTATAAATTCCCGTCTCTGTGTGTGTGTGTGTGTGTGTGTGTGTGTTTGTGACTTTGCGTGTGTGTGGTGTTCAGTAGCAGCCAAAGAATGGTCGACGAGCTATCACAGGATTTAAAGTGAACCTTGGGGTAATTAACTCTTACTTGTATATATATATGTATATATTTGTGTGTAAGTTATTGGTTTGAGGCAGGTGTTAATCCATGCACCATAGATAGATGGAGTTGCAAAGATTAGTGCTTTTGTGAGCTTGAAGTATTGTCATTTTAATCAACCTAAACTACGATCAATGGATCTGTTGCCTTCATATCTTCATTATCTTTCAGTTTCAGTGTTACAAACTTTCCAATTTAATCTTTAGAACTAAGCTATTGTATTGTTATAATATGCACATCCATATATGTATGGTCCAGTTTTTTTATCCTTAATTATACGCCTATTATTAATGTGCACATATAATAATGTTATTGTTAATATGCATATCCATTGATGATGATGATCCATTGATGGTTGAGGTAGCACTAATTGGAGATAAAATGGATTAAGATGGTTCACATCGAGGTAATGCTAGGGGAAGCGGAAGACCAACACGGGTAGAGTTAGAAAGGAAGGATACAATAACATGTGATAATAGATAGAGCAGATTGAATAAAATATGATTCATGTAGTTAATGTAATTCTAGAAAGTAAATTTCAATTTTTATGTTTCTTTCCTTCTAATATAGTTGAAACTAGAAGGAATTCTAAAAGCTATGTTTGGGAGCACGAAATCGGCACCTTGAATTTGAAATTGGGAGAAATTGAGTTTTCGAAGGCATACATATGTACGAAATGGGCGCCTTGGTTTTGGAATTGGGGGAAATTGAGTTTTCAAAGGCAAACAGATGTACATATATGTGTGCTGTTTCCAGTAGCTTTGAGTTCTGACTACCAAATAGGTTTTTCCCATATTGAATATATAACTGCTTATCAAAGAATTGCGAGCTTTAAGAAATTACAAAGTTTTATTCCGCTTGTCTTCCTTAAGATTGAAGTATGTAATAAGATACTATTTATTTTAATTTTAATTTTTAAACTTTGTGATACTTTGTCCCCATAAATAGCTTACAGTGGTGAATAATGTGTGGTATTAATAGTGTCAAATTATGCAAAGCATTGAACCACGGACCTTAATTGGTGGTTGTTCTTATTGTCCTGTGCAAATTGGCCAATTTTTACGAGTGATGAGCAAATTAAACTCAACCATTTAAAACAAAATTGTTGTGTAACTAAAATTTGGACCAGTCAAGTTTCACTTTTTAGTTTCGATGGTATTGTCGTTTTTATGATATAGATTACAGTTTTTGAACTTCGTTGTTTGATATGGTATTTTTTTTTTTTTTTTTTTCTTTTTTCCTAGTTGGTACTCACACACACAAGTCTCAGAAGAGACTTGAACCCCTAACCTCCCTTTGGGAAGTAAGAGACCGATACCGCTAGGCCACTGGCCCGTTGGTACATTAGAAGGTGGAAAGGGGATAGATATGTTTAAGAAGGAGGAGGAGGAAAACATTAGAAGGTGGAAAGGGGATAGATATGTTTAGGGGTATGAGTTCATGATAGATCTTACAAGATGAACTATTAAACTGAATTGGTTATTATAAATTGAACCAGTCAAGTTTCACTCTTAGTTCAAGATTTCTTGCTGCTTTTAAGATGTCATAGATTATAGAGTTGAAACTTATTGTTTGATATGGTATTCTTTTACCTTCTTTCATGTACATCACTCCATGCTTGTTTAAACTAAGAAAACTATTTTGTACCAGAATGTTAAATGAGTTCTTGAAACAGATATTTTTCTTTATTTGTAAAAGATATTTCTGTCGAAGGATATTATGGTTCCTTAACTTTGAAGCACCAGGGAATAATATTTTTTTATGGGTCATAAGTTTTCTATAAGGTCTACGCTGATGAAATTCCAAGCAATTTGGAAAGACATCCTATAGAGGCTTCTTGATTCTGTGTAAATAGATTGTTTAAAAGGGCAACATAAACAATTTTTTTTCCTGAAAGGGGCAACATAAACAAGAATTAATATCACACACACTCATATACACATACAATATAGAACTAAACAAAATTTGGTTTTGTAGACATGCCTATTGGAGAGGACTAAGTGGTAGCCTGCTGATCAAACTGCATGTTCTGCCTTTCCTTAGTAGCTGTTGGTTGCTTGCAACTACACATTGTATTATGAATTTATGACAGAGTCAAAACTTTCATTACTTGTACACTACATTATGAAATTTTTTCCCTTAAGATTGCCAGCACATGTTTTAGTAGTTTAATTGCCACTATCATCATTATATTTTTCTGGCTCGTGCTTATATTAATTGTAATTCTGCTGGTATATTTTGTCATTGATCATCATTAGAGATGGTCCTATATTCACAGACTTGGCTTTGGTGCATGAATTTCTGTACATCACTTGAATTAGAGTTATCTGTGTGCAATTTGAGTTTATAAAAGGTAAAATATACCTTGTAACCATGTCGCGCTCTTTCATAAAATATCAGTTTATAAAGCAAATAAATTATCATCATCATCATCCTTGCCTTAATTCCTTATGCATGAAGGGGCATAAGGCGAGTATCGGTTTGTAAAGCATATAAATTAGGAACTAAAATGATATCAGGTTCATACCATCTCAAGGTCATTTTAGTCTTTTTGACCTGAAACAAGGCGGTTTTTAACTCTGTAGGGTGGTCTAAACTTTCTCCAGAAGAATCCCTATAAAAAATCCAAGCAGAAGAGAAGAAGAAAACCCCCATTTGACCTGGATTCCTCCTTATTACTCGCCTCATGCCACTTCATGCACCTGCAAATTAATAACTTAGAGCTTCCTTGCATTGACTTTCTTTCCATAAATAAGCAAATTAAAATAATCAACTTGTGAATATACATATCTCTATGAAGACTATCTATCATTCAAGTTAATCATGACAAACCTTTTAAAATGTCTGTACATAAAGGCTAGGGTAGTTGTCTCTTCCCTCTCAACATAATTTAAATTTTGTAATAAAACAACACAAATTTTAAATATGTGTGCGTGTATTTTGCAGCATGAATATCATTGATATTTATATAAATATATAAATCTGCAGCAATGGATTCCAGCAAGCGCATACATATGCATATAGATGTATACATTTCTTGTCTTCCAAGGTTTGAATGCATCTATTTAATAGCACAACCAAAATGGACAAACCAAATGATTCTGTTATGCTTAGAAAAATGGTGCATGAATGTGAGACATCCATACAATTCCCTGTAGTAGATATTTCTCAACCAATGAACCCTACTTCTTTATCCTCTCTAGCTGAAGCCTGCAAAGAATGGGGCTTCTTCCACATCATCAATCATGGAATCTCGAGAGATCTTTACGACAAAATTCATTCTCTCTCTCAACACCTCTTCAGCATCAGTTCCGAAACCAAGCTTAAACTCGGTCCTTTCTCCTCGATTAAAACTTACACTCCTCATTTCATTGCCTCTCCTTTTTTCGAGAGCCTTAGAGTGTCTGGACCGGACTTCTTTGCATCCGCTCAGACTTCTGCAGATGTTCTCTTTGAGCAAAACAATTCTGAATTCAGGTAGTCTTCGTACTTAATCACCTTGTGCTCAATATGCTTTTTATTTTGCTTATAATATTCTTTATTTGTGTGTGTGTGTGTGTGTTTTTCTTTTTTCAGTGAATCATTGGAAGAATATGGGAACAAAATGACAGAGCTATCAAAGAGAATTGTGAAGTTTCTATTGATGAGCTTGGGTGATGGTTTTGAGAAGAAATACCATGATTCTCAATTTGAAAGTTGCCATGGTTATTTAAGGATAATTAACTACTCACCTCCAAAGAGTTTGGAAGAAGAAGTTGAGGGTCTCGGGATGCATACCGATATGAGCTGTGTAACAATTGTGTATCCAGATGAAATAGGCGGTCTCCAAGTGAGATCGAATGACGGGAAGTGGATGGACATTGCCCTATGTGAAGGGGGGCTGGTGGTGAATATAGGTGATATGCTGCAAGCTTGGAGCAATGAAAAACTAAGGTCTTCCGAACATCGAGTTGTTTTGAAGCAACTGGTAAACCGTTTTTCTCTAGCTTTCTTTTGGTGCTTTGAGGATGAGAAAGTGATTATGGCACCCGAGGACGTGGTTGGAGAAGGAAAAATGAGACTTTATAAGCCGTTTGCTTGCTCGGATTATTTGAAATTCAGAATGAGCAATGAGAAAGGCAAGTTTGAGAAGGTTAAGTTTACAGTTAAAGATTTCGCTGGGATTGAGCCTCAAATTTAACCTCTGGTAAGTGGTTTTTGTTCTGTTAGGAATGTGATATTTTTAAGTTATTGCTTATTACTCTTTATTCTGTTTCAATGAAAGATGAAAACAGAGATCAGATTGAGCTAGGAATTGGGGTTTGTTGAGCTGGCAAGCTTTGAAATGCATGTTGTTAGTTAATATTAAAATGGTTGTACACTTTGAATTGAATTTTCTAGCTTGTATTTTGGAATTCCTTTTATTATTGTATTGTATGTATTGTACATGTGTGATGTATAATAATGGATATATATTAGGGATGGCCTACTCTAGAATTGCATGTAACAACTTCTTTTATTTATTATTACTATTATTATTATTTTTGGTAAGTTAATTGCATATATTTTCTTATTCTATGTTTGTTACTTTTTTGTTTTTTAGAAATGTTTTTTCTGATCTTTTATCTTCTTAGATGCAAAGCTAATGTATAGACATGAAATATCAGAACAAGTGTTACCTAATTGAGGTGAAATGCTTGAAAATACATTCTAAAGCAACAATGAGACTCCGTCTGGTCCGTCTTGCATTATAATGTGTCATAATGTGTCTCTGTGTATATGAACTTTGGCTGGGTATTTCACCATATGCATGTGCGTAAGAGTGTGTGTGTGTCGTGTGTGTGAATGTAGAAGATAAAAGGTGGTGCTGCTTTCGTAACAATTTGACTAACATCCCTTTGTGGCTTAAAGAATTCAATTACCAAACAAACAGTGGTTAATGTTTGGCAACTTGTTACTATTTTGCTGATTCAATTCAAATAAAATACTCTATCAGTTTGGGGCACATGGTCAACTGTCTGAAAGTTTCTTTAGCCAACTTTTTTTTTTTTCTTTAACCAACTTGCTTAGATTAATATGTGATTATGATTCTGACACAAAGTATTATGAAGTACACTAATTGCACCATCAGTCAAAAAATCAGATGATAATTGATTAATCTGTCGGTGTTCTAAGGGCATGTCGCTATTTTTTTCCCTTTTCTGAAAGTTCAAGCAAACACGCACACAACTACAATATTACCCTTAATAGGGCCCGGACAGTGCGGACACTCAATCTTCCCTTAACGGAAGAGAGATCATACCATCTAGACTTATGCCAATTGGTTCTACCAGCATAACTTTGTATTGTTTACAGGAAATATTCCTCTTTTATTGGTAGCTTGTTTTTATTGAAGAGTTGGAAATTCTGAACAATTGCCTAATGGCTGTCTAACTTGCTTGTAACATAATAACACTATGGTATTTGGACTTAATAGAATTTAGGCTCTGTTTGGTTAACAGAGCCTAATGTGAACATCAGGAGAACCCATGGTTATCAAACCATGAAAAGTCAGGTTTGAACTTGAGAGGTGTTGATACCAGTTCTTGATAAGTTGAGGAAATTATTTCACGTCTGTCGAGAATGCTGAGATTAGAGGATGAGTGGAGCTCCAAGTTAGCACAAGGGATTCTCCATAGAAGAGATTGAGAGAGAGAAATATATTTTGTTTAACAACCTATGGTAGCTCGAGTCCTAGGTGAGCAATCAGCACTGACTAGGTGTACCACCATTAATACCCTGAAGTCACGCCCATTTGAAAAGTCAACAGGAGAACCCATGGTTATCAAACCCCAAAAACAATGAATGTTTCTCTAGAGACATTAATGTATCTTCTACCTTATGGTGTTTGATTTTGGCGCATGTGCATTCTCTTGCATCATCGGTGTTATGAGAAGTAGAGGAGTCATGATGTGTTTGTACTGCAACAAGTTCATGTACAATATCGGCTCAGTCCCGCCAAATTTGGCAATATATTGGTATTTGATAGCAAAGAGCTTGAGAATACTTTTCCATCAGCAGAATGAGCATTGAATAACCAGATGGGTTGATAATTTACTAACGTTCTTCCAGTTAAGCTACGAAACAATGAAATATATGAATGATCACACAGTAGCATGGAAAGAATTACCAAATATGAAGTCTATATTCTACAATGTAGCATGTGCTTCTACTGATGATGTATGTGTGTTCATGTAGAAATTTGATGAATTTGCATATGAGCATCCTAACAAATATTTCGTACTGTCACCACCTCTGAAACTGCCAATTCCACCAACAACCCAGGTCATTTCAAAGCTATATATATTGGTCTTGAGGATATGTATATGTATTTCCCCAAATACTGCATTGCATAATGATTTTTTTTTAATCATTATTTTTCATTTTTTTGGGGGTCTATTGTGTTTAAACAGGCCTAGTTGAATCTTGACAGTTGCCCTTCACTTTCATCTGCAGCTTCTATTCCTAAGCTTAATGGTTGTGTTAATAGTATCACCTGCTCCTTTAAAAAAAAAAAAAAAAAAAAAAAAACTATTAATACCTAACTGTCTAGATGAGAAACTGGACCGAAAATATTATTCAAAAAACAACACTACTAAAAAACAATGCTACACGGTAAACAACTTGCAACTACCAACGGATCGCTGTTGCAGTTTACAGCGCATATATGCCAGAGACCTCGTACGTTGAAGTTACGTTCCTGACTATCCTTTTAATCAACAGCTTGCAACTACCTTATGAACGGATCGCGTATAAGTGAGAGACCAGTAAATAGTTTCGTAAGACGACACGAATCGAAGACGATTGGCCGAATGCACTCCGACCATACTTGACAATAAATAGTGAAAAGAAACAATTTAGTTGAAAATTGTGTGTTACCTTAACGAGTTGGCTTAATGAGTTGACTGACCCCTCCTTTAATAGGAGATCTGGTAGTGGTGTCCTCTTAGAAAATTAATTCCTTAGCTCCCTCGACTTCTGCATGCAGATAAGGGAAAAATAGTTGTCCATATGTCCACTGCTACTTAGACTTATCTGACCCATTAGGTTCGTGTCGCCTTATATATATATATATATATATATATGATAAAATCTTACTATTATACATATGGTATATAATATGTTCTTAGCAGAATCAACTAATATATAATCTGGTCCAATGCCATACGAATTCCTAATTTATGAATTCGTACCCAAATTAAAATTTAAAAAAAAAAAAAAAAAAAAAAAAAAATTCGTACCAAACAAACTAATGAACATCCTAAGAGTTTATAAAGAACCTTGTTTAACTCTATTAATTGAAATTTCAATAAAGACCGATCAAGTTTTGCATTGTCAATTCTAAACGCCTTGAGAAAGTACAAATGGTGATTTCGAACGCTCAACCCTTTCGGACTGTGAGAACTTCCAATGCTCTATTTTCTTCTACTATGGCTTCGTGGTTGTCACAGACAGAACCATCGCCGGTCTTCTTAGATTCTTCACGACTCTCTTCCGGTCACGGGAGGTCAGTGGCCTACCGTTCGTGTTGCTTCCGGGGCGTATTGGTAAATACTGGAGGTCGGACTCGTACTTCGGCGATCTTGAGAGGCAGAGAAGACAGAAGCGAGGATCAGCCTCTTCTTGATGATTCAATGAAGAAGGGTCGATACGAACTGGTAAACTGCAATTATATTTACTTCAATTAATTTGTTTCCAACTTTTGTTTCTTGGCAGTTGTAAATCATCCCGTGGTTTTCTTGCTCCAACTTGTCTAATTGTTTGTGGTAAAGCTGTTTCTTGAATTGTTTGTGTTAGGTAATTAAAACAAGTAGGGTTATGTACTAATGTAACTATGAGGTTGTGTTGCATTTTTATTTTGCATAGCAGTTGACAAGAAGTAGAGTTGTGTACTTGTGTTAACGCCCTAAAAGTAGAGTTGTGTACTTTCCTTTTTTTTCTTCTCTCTCCTCTGTTTTATCCCAACATTATGCTTTCCTTTCTTTTTTTCTACTATCTATCCAAATATTAATATAAATTATAGCTATTATTTCCTTTCCTTTCTCTCGTAATCCTTTCCTTTCCTTTCTCTCCCGTGTATCCAAACAAAGCCTAAAAGTGCATTGTTCTTAAGCACTTGCATGTGAATGGTGGTGATTAAATTTCAGAAGAATACAAAAAATCGAGAAGTTTAGGTAAGAAATTTTGTAAAGAAAGGGCAAATTTATATAGTGTGTGGTGATTACTTTTGTGCAACTTAGATCAATGGATGATGATGAAGTGATATGTAGAATTTCTTTTAACAAATTAATAAACTGATGACTGCGACTTGCCCAGAAAGGAAGAAATAGAAGAAAAGATGAAAAATGGAAAATGACATTTAAAGATCATGTTAGATTTTTATAATAAAAATAATAATTCTATATAAAGAAAAGATAGAGCAATTATTGAACGGGGTCCACTGGAGGAAATTGCATTGAATAAACTTGCAACATTAGCAATTGTTTGTATTTTTTAGGATCCGAGTTGTGAAATTTAGAAGCTTTAAGGTAATATTTGAGGTCTGAATTTGCACTGAAGCATAACCATGAAGGTTAGGATATTGTTTAACATATATATATTTTTTGGTGCGTACATCTTTGTTAATGAGGAGTTCCCCTTGTTCTCATCTTCAATCTATCAAGTTAAACTGCAAGGTTATTTACAATAAAACTTGAGAAGATTTTGAGGAGGAACATGTTAGTTCCATTTATTTGTTATAGAGATGGACTAACATTGATGGCCCATGCTATTTATGACTGGGATTAGCGGAGTTTATTTGGTTGCATTTGAAGCAAATGCATTCATGAGAAACTTGAGTAGTGAGAAGATTTTAAAATATATATATATATATATATATATATATATATATATATATATATATTGATGTAAGATATATGAGATGGTTTGCTCATGTGAAAAGGAGACTGTGGTTGTTTAATTAAGATGTGGACAGGCCACAGGGGCACTGTCTGGGCAAGGAGAAGTTTGAAGGATGTCAAGAATTTGGTTAAAATCAATCAAAGTAGACAACCTGTTCGTTATCCTAACTTCAGCTCAACTCAACAAGCCTTACCCACTATAATTTTGGGTCAACAATATGGATCTGTCCTCTCGTGTTTGTTTCATATCAAGTCATCTCAT